GTATATTTCATATATATATATAATATATAATATATTATATATTATATTATATATATATACATATTATGCTATGTGGCTATGTAATATGTGTCCCTGCACCCATTGAAAAACAACGGTACATACCTACGACTTCGAACGTAGCTCGGGGGCCTCGTGGCTGGGGCGACCCGTGGCGGCTGCCTCGGGTCAGCGTTGGACATTCCCAGCTGACTGGGGGAATAATGTGGTAATAGTAATGTTATATGATAATCAATGGGAATTCCAGGATCCTAAAATGGAGGTATTGTACCATATGGCCATTGAAATCATGTGGTAATAAAAATGGTATATGGACCATATATGGATGTATGATGATAATTTAATGGCAAGTTGATGGTAATAATGGTCTGGTAATGATTAACATTTGCTGGTAATTAATTGTTCACTGCTAATTCCATGTGTTCAACTAATTATTCACTCATGATAAAAACATAGGGATCTGGTTGGTGGTATATCTACCCCTCTGAAAAAATATGTAAGTCCAGTTGGGATTATGACATTCCAATATATGGACAAATAAAACATGTTCCAAACCACCAACCAGGTGGCAATAGTAATGGTATATGATAATCAATGGGAATTCCAGGATCCTAAAATGGAGGTATTGTACCATATGGCCATTGAAATCATGTGGTAATAATAATGGTATATTATATGGATGTATAATGGTAATTTAATGGCAATTTGATGGTAATAAAAATGGTGGCACATGATCATATGGTATATATTGGTATATGATACAATCTGGTAATTCTATATGTACCGTCTGGGAATTTCATCATGGTATATGGAACAATTATGAATGGTACATATTTTGCTTTATAGTAAGTAAGTACATACCCAACTATGACATACTCAACTATTTGGTACATTATTATGAATGGAACAATAAAACTTTATAGTAACCCAACTATGATTTGGGGTACCCCAAATGGGTACCAGGGTGCGACCAAGATCTGACCTAATATGTTTTAAGTCTATGTTTAGCATTAACCATCGAATTCTTGGGGTACCCCAGGGGTACCCAATTTTGACCCATACTCATTTGAAACTACCATGAAAAACATGTTTTTGTTGGTTTTACTTGATGCTACATCACCATTTATCACCATGATTATTCATGTTTGATTCCATGGGTAATCCGACAGAAAAGAAACAAATCCCTATAGATTCCATGTGTTCACTATTAATCAGTATTCATGACTAATGACAATCAACCATAACCAATGGTTGCAGTAATGATTAATACTGATTAAGAGTAATAGTAATAACTATTATCATTGCTTAATCATTATATTATCATTACCAATGAACCACTATCAAACACTTTGATAATAGTATATTATCATTCATGAATATAACCATACCATTACCAATGGGATGATAGTAATACTGATGAATATATTATCAGCCCATTGGGTTAACTCTAATTAACCTTGACCAATCTGTTCGATCAATATTCTGCAACCCCCTAATTCACTATCAAACACTGTCAGTCACTATCAATCACTATTAATCACTGTTAATCACTGTTAATCACTGTTGATCACTATCAATCACTGTCAATCACTATTAATCACTGTTAATCATTGTTGATCACTATCAATCACTGTCAATCACTATTAATCACTGTTAATCACTATTATCAACCATGATTCAAAGTAATTTCCCCACGATTTCCCACAATGCCACAGTTTCTCGGCCAGCCTTGGAGTGTGGCTCCTCCTCGTGCTGATCCGCTCCACGCTTCCAACCGCCCGAGCCGTTGCCCTGCGGAAGGGCGGGTGAACAAAAAAAGGATCTATAGTATAGCAAAATCCTATATATTATGTAGAATATGTGTATATATATATGTATGTATGTGTATATGTATATATATATATATATGTAGAAGTGTGTGTATTAAGTAGTACTCTATCGTTTGTCGGTATTCCAATTGATATATGGTACATAATCATTCATTAACTATTTCTAATGATATATCTGGCGGACTTGTGATAATTCACTAACCTAAAGAGTGTGTTCATTTTGGGGTAGTTTCCCTATGCGTCCCTGACAATACTCATTCATAGTCTTAGTGATGTTGGAGAGATGTCGTTATGATTACACACGTCATATCATGCATATAAGTGTGTGACTTGCAGACTTGTATGCATATGTCATGTCTGAATCATTAAGAATGATTGGGGTTTCAAGGGCTTTGAAGAAGTAAACTTGTGGTTTCAACCCATGGATCATGAACCCAATAGGCTTGAAACCACCAAACAAACCAAACAAAAATAACGATAGATTTGGATATTTGGATGAATCTGTCGTCCCCTTTCCTTCCCGGAAATCGTTGTTGTTTGTTTTTGTGGTCGCCCGCCGGGACGTTCAGATGGGCCAGCGCTTCAGCTTTTTTCGGGGGATGGTATTGATGGAATTTTCATCACGGTTCCCAACAGGGATGAAACGCCATGTTTTCCATTCTTATTGGTTTTATTATAATGAACATCTAATAATGAACCTAATAGTGAACCTATAATGAATCAAATAATATGAACATCTAATTTTCTCATCCCGTGATCTTCTTCTTATAGACATGCCATGACAGTCTACGCCGTGATTTTATCCGATTATATCATCAATCATCTCCCATGAAATATTCCCACATGTCCATTGAATACCCATGATATTCCCACTATAGTTCCATGATATTCCAATTATATCGTCAATTCTCATTGTTATCCCAGTGTTATCCCAATTTTCTCACTTCAAATTAGATCCTATCCTTCGCCATGTTTTTCTTCGTGGCGTTGTAACACCACGAAGACCCGCCTGGTCATTTTTCCACCAGTCACCGTTTTTTTCGCTCTCCTGGCGGAGGTGCCATGGGTAAGAAGAAACCACATATGTTCTATGTGTTATATAACTATAGAACTATGTATATATATATATAGTCTAATTCTTCTTTTGTTTCCTTTCTAAATTATCAATGCGTAGTGCGAATATGCTTAAACACACAGAAACAACAAATGGAACATAGACATACAACTACAAATACATTCATACTATGTTTTAATGGACAAACATAAATGAAAACAATACGGGAAAAATAACAGGAAACTATGTTTTCAACCCGAAAAATATATTGGGGTCCGGGTCAGGTCCGGTCAAAATACTCCCTTGAACCAATTCTGAGAATGTAAGCATTGGGGGCAAGGTGCACCCACAGGCAGTGGGTCATTTACACTTCTGTGGCGACCAAATACCCTCCAGCAAACTAACACCGCTATGGAAATCAACAGTTGTTTCCCCTCCAAAAAGGATCTACAAATAATGGATTTTCCTTTTCCATATCTTAATGTTGGTTTACTGGAAGGTATCACCTTGACTGTCCACTTCAGAGGTCGACATTCTACTGTTCATTCCATCTCATATGCTCCATTCATCTGGGTAAATTTCAATATTTCACTAACCTGAATCTTGCGGCCATTTGGGGACGATTTCTCTAACTAGCCATGATTCCAGGGCTCGGTCGCAGTGAGGTCGTTATAATTTACCCAGATTCATCATCATTTCGTGGGGAACATGTTGGTAAATCTTCCAGCAACGTGGATCTTTCAGAACACAACAGCCGGCACCATCCTGGGCCGAAGCAAAGCCCTTGCGAAACAATTCTCTCACCAACCCATGACACCATGACTGGTTGGTGGTATACCCACCCCTCTGAAAAATGATGGAGTTCATCCAGTTGGGATTATGACATTCCCAACCGAATGGAAAGTCATAAAAATCTTGTTCCAAACCACCAGCCAGATGATGTCCTTGTCGTTCTTCCACCACTCCTGCAACTCATCCCCAATGAGGCGCTAGAAATTGCAGAGATGCAAAAATGGAGGGTCCTACAATGTGGGGTCCTTAATTAAGATAGGTATAAACTGGCTTGCATATTATATAATTATATACTTAAATATTTACATACAACTATAATATAATTATATATAATTATATATATATGTATAGGAAGTTTAAACTTATCTAAACAATATGGTGGATATATCCATAGTTCCATGGGTTGTAAACCAACGTGACTTGAGTCCCACCTTTGTAGGGAACAAATAGATTCCAGTCGATGCAGTCAAGAGGTCCAACGATTGCCAAACATACGTCTGATCTTTATACTTGCATGAACAGGGGGTTGGCTAAATTCCGGGTTTGCAATTTGCAATCCAATACCCTCTGGTAAACTCTCATGGCTATGAACAATCACCATCTTTAAGAGGTAAACCGTCTATAAATGGGCCATGTTATATTATATATATACACATTCATTTTTCAGAGCTATCTTAGTTTACTGGACGGCAACACCCCCTTTTTTCGCCCGTCACCTTGGAATCATTCTGATCCTTCTTCCACCATTCATCCTTATTCTCGGCCTGCGACAGGCAGTGCTGCAAACAGCAAACCACTAAGACATCAGCGAGCGTCGCGCTCGGTGATCTGCATACTATCATGTTTTTCACATTAAACACAAAATCCAGATATATGATGAAAAAACCTCAATATGTGAAATGTATCCTCAACATGATAACATAACATACGATCATCTAACATTTAATCCAATCCAACTAGCTCTTGGCTGCCCAAGATCCAACATGAAAATATGGGTTGGGTCTCTAGGATTTCTTGTAGGCTGTGAGTCAAGTACTGAAATATGGCAAACATGGCATGTGATGAAATATTAAAACTGGACAGTTTTCCGACGTTGGATTTCGAGCATATTTGAGATTTGCAGCTTTAACCTAGTAATTTCCTTGAAAGGGGATTTTGAAAGCTAAGTATACTCACCCTTAATTTCCACAGAAAAATCAATGAATTAATTGAGGGGGGTAAAACAGTGCTTTCTGTTGTGGTTTTCAGGGGGTTCAAGGGTATTCAGACCAAATAAGGGATCAAATAATAAAGAAATCATTCCAGTCAGATCGTTGGGGATTTGGAGATTTCAGTGAGTTCAAGTCAATCCTCCAAAGTTAAAAGCCTGATGAAGTCATATGGAGACCTCACAAGCGGAGACCCCACGGCGAAGCAAACATGTGGGATGAAGAAGACATCCTCACAGCAATTCAAGGGCAAGTCGAGCGTCAGTCGAGGTTCAGCTCCATGAAAAGATCCCGTCCTATTGCCCGACGGCAAGTCGTGTAGGCCGTGTAGGCCGTGTAACCCCGTCCGGGGTAGTGACCGTTGGCATCAGGCGATGGTGCATCATCCATAGCCTAATACCGGCCTGACAAATATAAGGAAGCCCCCCATTCATCACTCCCAAGGTTCACCAGTGAAAGTGACGACTGGACAGTGGATCTGTAAAACACAGAAAGCCGACAAAGATCACTTCCACATAAAATCTTATGGAGAGGCTCAGGTCGATCACGGTGCTTTTCAAGATAGGCGACGGTTTGGCTTATTAAGATGATGTGGGCATTCAGTGGAATTTTCACGAATTTTGGAGCCTCAAAAGATGGGTCATCAAATTTGGGTCTTATGTGGTCCCATTAGCTCTATGCCTATTAATATTATATATATATATATATATTACTATATGCAATAAACATCAATCAACCGTAGCTAAGTATTGGGCACCACCATGTACTCAATGCTTGATTTGATTTGCACAACGCTTCATGGCTGGTGGTTTACCACACTTTATAGACATCTATCAGCCATATATCATATTTCTCCACAAGTGGACATAGCTAAAGACTATGACTAAGTTTATGAATCATTATAACACTTAAATATACATGAATACATAAATATAGATAAATACAGATAAATACGTATAAATATAGATAAAGTATACATAAATATACATGAATCACATAATCATAAAACAAGCAAGCATTGCAGGGCCATGTGTTCCATTGTCTCACTGCGGCCGCATCCCTGTTTCAACTCGCCTTGTCGTTGGACCTACCTGAAGTATGCACTCGTTTCATCCCAGGTTCGTCGATTCCCCCCGGTGGCATCAGATCTGGATTGAACCATCGAACGAATTGGTTTCACCATCAAACATGGTCTAAAGCTACCCCTCTGAAAAATATGAAAGTCAGTTGGGATTATTATTCCCAACTGAATGGAAAAATAAAATTCATGTTCTAAACCACCAACCAGTGGTGGTCTAAAGCATCCGAAGGAAAAAACTTAGGATATCTTCAGCATCAAAGATGGGAACAAATGGGCGTTCAACACTATGATCTGAAATAGATTGAAATACTGTAGCACGTCGTAAAAATCGCAAAAAGAGTGAGTCAAGTAAAATGTGATCCCAAAACTGCTTCAGTGATTCAAACTGCAAGGTGACCACATATGTGCATAATATATATATATATATTATCGAAGGAAGTTTAGAAGTCAAACTTCCGACAATATGGAGAGATGAAAAGCAGAGCAGGGAAGAGGCAGAGAGAAGAGAAGATTAGAAGAAAGAAGAGTAGAAGAGAAAGAGTAAGAAGACAGAAGATGCAGATGCGCGAAAAGGTAGGAAAGTCGCGAAACACTGCGTTTTTCCAATGATTTGTGGCTCCGGAGGGTCGAAAAGTAGGCTCGCTAAAGCGGCGGGTGCGGAGCCAGTTGGCCAGAGAAGAGATGAAAAATTGCACGCCGTTGTGGCGCGAAGCACATTTCGAAGTCAAAATGTACAAAACACACTAGCTTCGGACCACTTTTGGAAGTTAAGATGTCGAAAAAGTGCACGTCGTTGTGGCGCGAAGCACATTTCGATGTCAAAATGTACAAAACACACCAGGTTCGGACCACTTTTGGAAGTTGAGATGTCGAAAAAGTGCACGCCGTTGTGGCGCGAAGCACATTTGGAAGTCAAAATGTACAAAGCACACCAGTGTCGGACCACTTTTGGAGGTTCAGATGTCGCTTCGCCGCTTCGATTCACTACACTATACTACGTTACATTACACCACACTCCACTATACTACACTACATTACACTACACTACACTCCACAACACTACAACTACAACTACACAACTAGACTACACTCCACTACACTCCATTACATTAAATTTCACTACACTACATTACACTACACTACGCTCCACTACAATACACTACATTAAATTACACTACACTCCACTACACTACATTACATTACGCTACGCTCCACAACACTACAACTACAACTACACAACTACACTCCACTACACTCCACTACATTAAATTACACTACACTACACTACATTACCCTACACTACACTCCACTCCACTACACTACACTCCATTACACTACACTACATTACACTACACTACATTCCACTACACTTCACTACATTATACTACACTACACTCCACTACACTACAACTACAACTACGACTACACAACTACACTCCACTACACGAAATTACACTACACTACATTACACTACACTACACTACATTCCACTACACTCCACTACACTACACTACATTACACTACACTACAATACGCTGAATGACACTGCACCACAGATAGACAGGTAGACAGATAGACAGATAGAAAGATAGAAAGATAGAAAGATAGAAAGATAGATAGATAGATAGACAGGTAGACAGCTAGACAGATAGACAGATGAAAGGGAGAGAGAGAGAGAGAGAGATAGATAGATAGATAGATAAATAGATAGATAGATAGAAAGATAGATAGATTGGGTAATTAGATGAAAGAGAGAGAGAGATAGATAGATCGATAGATGGATAGATACATAGAAAATAGATAGGTAGGTAGGTAGATAGTCAGAGAAAGAGATAGAAAGAGTGAGAGAGATCAAGCACTTTTCAGTCCATCAGTGGCTTCGCTCTGCCATCCCTGATTCACAACAACCAACCTCTCCTATAGGTTTCCTATTTTTGAAACTTCCGCGACCGCCTTGTGCGGTACTACTGGTATATATATATATATATTATATATATATATATGTATTATATATATATATATGTATTTTATATATATATATATACATGTATTATATATATGTGTGTATTTACACCTTGTAAGCCATCTACAGTACCTTCTTTTTTTAGGGTTGCTCAAGAAAACCAATGTTTTTTGAAAAAAACAGTTTTTTTTTTAACAGTGTTTTTCTTCACACTTCAATTTCGTGGAAGTGGTTGCTTCAACCAACAAAACTCTTACCCTTGCCCAGCACACACTTTTCCCACACATCTTCTATCTGATCAACCCGCAATCTTTCCAAACGGAGAAACAGCCAATCAAGTAGCGCTCAAGTGTCCGCCACATGACCGTCCGTATGGATACCCGTCGTGATAAACGGGATACTCGCCCGATTACATCTTCGTCAAGCTGACAACTGCAACTCATAGGGTTCTGTGAGAACCCAAATTCCAAGGCTTCAGCACGTGGCCTTATCATCATATGATGCATCGAGTGCAATTTTGGGTAAAGTGGGAAAAGGCTTGGCTGCCCAATGTCAAACATCTGCTGGGCCATGAAGCAATATGTTGCAAGGAACTCCAGTCCACAACTCGAAGAATAGAGGCATTCAGCCTTGTCCAGGAAGAAGCCACCTTGGAAAAAACAGCTGAACATAGCATTGAGCTTTGCAGTCCCTGCACGGCAAAGAGCTAAGAGGCCTCTGTCATCTTGAGGGAGATCCTTCAGCAACCTTAACAGCCACTTGCAGAAGTTGGTGGTCAACGCACCCTTGTGCCAGCGACCTTGTTTGCCGGTCTTGTCGTCGTAGGACATCAAGTAAGGCGTGATTTTGGATTGTTTCTTTCATCCATGCAGGTCATGCCTGCTAATCAAATGCATCTATGTTGTTATCTATTTTATCGTTAAATCATGAGCCAGCCTCTCCCAATCGACCGACCCGGTGGAAATCTGACAATCACATTCCCCAATTATGGTTTACCTACTGCGCCAGAACCCACTAATATGACCCAAATGCTATATATTGTTTTGATGTACTATGTTTTGGGGGCATGATGTGGTAGAATTATATGAAAACCCAGCTATATAACCAATATATTCCCAATAGCAAAAAAAACAGGTAAAAAAACAACAACACGGTTCTTTTCATAATTACGGATAATAGTAGGGTTTTCATTTTTCAACCCAAAAAAAAGTGGGTTACCGGCTTAGTAGGTATATATATATAAATAACTACATATATATATAATTATATATATATACCAAATATGCAAACCTAGGTTTACCCTCAAAATATGTAATCCCTGAACTGGTGGCACAACTTTGGCCATCCCCGACGTGCCCAGTACGTTTGTTCCTACGAAGCTCAGCACTAAAATAGTCATGTCTGTACCATGTCGAAAAACATAGAATATGATTTTAGGATATTTTAGGTCATCCCACCATTAGGATTTCCCTGAAGAATTTTATTGAATTATATATATATAGGAGGCATATCCTTATGATTGATGACCATCTTCCAATATTGGACAATCAGGTGGTCGGTGAAGTGGTGAAAAAAACATGAAATAACCCAGCGATGCACAAACCCAGCTATACCCTCCGGTCATTTGTAGCTATGGACCATGGCCATCCATGGCCCATTTATGATGCCCGATGGTGATTTTCCAGCTCGCAAACTGTTGAATTACCAGAGGGTAACTCACTTATAAAAATAGATATCTCAAAATAGCTATATTCTTACTAAATAATCTAAATGATATGTCAAAATTCAATTCTACAAAAAGAAAACAACAAATGTAAACCCAGGCAACTAAGATATCCCATCCGCTGTGCGGTCATTGGTAGTCTCTGAGCTGGCCCACTGTCGCTCTTGCCATTGGACCAGTCTTGCCTCGTGGTGAGAAAGTGGTGGGAAGATTCTGAGATCTCGTTGAAAACCGAATGGGAATGCGGAGATAGTGGGGATTCTAATGGGGATAAATGGGATAAGCAACCATATATGATTCTTGTGACTGAAAATGCTTCGCATAGCCCCAATTTATGCTATGTGGCCATGGTCAAGTCACATGGGCCATGCGTCCCACCGTGATATCGGGAATCCTTATATTGGCCATTGCTGCAACCATCTGCCACCCATTTATGGTGGTATAACTATGTAACCATCCCCCAAAATAATCAAATCTGGACACAGTATATCCAACTTTCGACTTCCAACGGTATAGCCCCCCTTTTTTTCGCGAGCAATTGGGGATGGCTATTTGACAGCCTGAGATCAGGTTTTCACATCCTCCAACTCAAAATGAGTCTGTCGTGGGGCCCGTGGGGAGAAAATAGGTAATGAATAGTAAAGATAGGTATACCTGAGGCATCTTCCGTGATGCTGAAAATTGTTTCAATGCAGGATTCCTACATTGAAAAAGAAAACTCAGTACAACAGTGCATCCCCACAGTGTACTGATAACCCACGATAAAATCACTATTTGACATTGGAATTATATGTTTCGCTATTCTGAGGACGCTCCTAATCCACGGGGATTTGGAAGATCTTGCAAAGCTGGCAATGAAAAGCTGGGTGGGCACTTGTGTAGGAAAACATCACCGCGTAAACTACCATGATTGACAGAACCCAGACTTCGAGTTTGACATGGGTTGGTACATGTCCGATTTTTTTCACATCACCCAACAAAAAGGAAATCATAGCATCTCCATCAGCTACTTTTTCAAGCAATGTGAACATGAACAGCGGGACATTTGGAGGTTTCCTGGGGGTACCCCTAAATCATCCATTTTAATAGGATTTTCCATTGTATACAACCATTTTGAGGGTCCTTCATCTATGGAAACCCCCATTGACCAACCTTTGAACGCGAACCATAACCATGGATGACGGGCAGTTCAATGTGCGCATCACTGAGGCTGGCACTTCTCATTCTTGTCCCAACCTCAGAGGCCATTGACCCAACGGGGGAAGACCCCAATGGATGGTTCCAAAGAAACAAATCTATGAAGACAACATAAGACAACGCTTTCAACCCAAGATATCAAGATATACCAAGTGCAGTTTTTCGTCTGTTTAAGTCTTGTTTCTTGTCTCTTATATATATAGTTATTAGAATCGAACATGGCTTGCTCGAACATGGTTTGATGGAAAATCCTCAAAGTTAGTTCGTAGCCACCTAAACCTGCAATCGGGGACGTGAGCCGCTCTGAAATGCGTTGTATCAAAACACTGGCCCAACAAATTGGTAATCCAAATTGTGCGACAAGGATTTGAATGAATATATTTGATGTGCTGCCTGGTGGATTTTTTTGGGTTTGGGGCCTTGGTGCATGGTGAAATTTGTTGTCAAATTTCGGTGGATATGTTTAAAGAGGAAAATTAAAACAAATCAAAATTCGCCAGTTCTTCGCCGCAAACTTCGCCGCATACTCACACTACATACTGTACTTACTCAGAAACTTCGCCGCAAACTTCGCCGGCAAAATTTCGCCAGCAAAAAAGTGCCAACAAAATCTCGCCAATTATTTGCAGTTGACAAATTAATAAGTTGCCCTTGTGGTCACTTACACAAACAAACATGCATGTTCATCGGTATGAATTTGGCAACAATTGAACAGAAATGAAAATTATAAATTTTCACTCTAACTTCATTCTGCAGAAAATTTGGCCTAAATTTTGATCCATTTTGTCATTTCCACAAATTCCTGGGCAATCTATACACAAAAACAGGTTGATATGTTAGGGAAATAAAGGTCTCCACATGTCTCCACAATTTGCGGATGGCTGGAAATGTGTGCCAAAATGTAGAAAAAATGGGTCAACAGCTGTATACATAGTTGTCCGAAAATGAAAGGGACAAAAAATGATGGCGAATTACTATTTCTCATTGTTTAATCACCATGTTGAAGTATCACCCATGTCCAGACAAATCCACATTACATTTGTTTTCGATTTTTCTTTTTATCCGCACCCACAGCTCAATGTCTATTTCCCAGCAATTACACCAGACGTGTGAGAAGTGTCGCAAAGTAGATATTAAATGGAACATATATGAACAGGGGGAGCGCACATTCATTCAGCAACTACTTTGATGCAAAAACCAGGGTTTGATTCACAGCGAAATCCAGCCAAGCAACTGTTGCCTTTGTCTTCAGTGTTCCAATCGTCCTTCTTATCCTTGTCGTCCCATGAGTCCTCCTGCAAAAATTCAGGTCCACCATTATAATCCCATCATAATCCCATCATAATCCCATTAATTATTGCCGTCTTTGGGGGCATACCGCGGCATACCACATTTCCAACATGGCAACATCTTGCGAGTGTCCTTCTTATTCCAATCATCATCTCCAGCGCTGGTTTCCAAGTCCTGACCAATGGAGTAACTGCTTGCTGGTAAGGCTGATGATCCGAGGGCCATAAAAAACAAACCTCAAATTAATAAGGCCCTGGGCTGTTGAATTTGTTGCGGTACCATTTCAGTAGATTGCCACTATCATCACTATCTGGGGGGGTACCCCTCCATTACTCAACGGTTTATTTATCCTGGGGTTGAGATCACAGGAGCTTATTCGCTTCACCTTGGATCGTCTCTGGTCATACTCCCCCCCAAAAAATAACCCCAGTATCAGCGGATAGCACCCAGTGCTGCACAGTCTGTACAAGGAAGTGCTTGGCAAGACAGAAAATGATGTTCCCTTACATGGTCTCGTACGCGTGCTTTTGAAACCTTGACCAACTTTTCGGACTGTACCCTGATGCTTGCAATAAGAGGTTTATTGGGCAAAAGAAGTCTCCTCGGAGCCAACTCCCGTTAAACACAAAGGTGATGTCTCACTGATGCAGACTGTTGGCGCTCTGATGCTTTCCACTGATGGAACTGCTCAAGGGCCCTGATGAGCCCAAATGTCATGGACACTCGATGTGTCTCTGATGTACACTGCATGATGTGCGTAAGGATGCATGTATGTTAACACGCCTCCTTGGCATAAAGATGTTTCAATCTCGTGCCGCAGCGGTCAAACATCAGCCCCGGGATACCCAGTCAGACGGCCAGTACATGGAGAGGAACTGCCATTCCATCCACGGGATCAACTGCCCGTAGCCGGGTCACCGCACTCAGCATCGGGCAATCCGGGAATGTCAGCAAACTCATGAAGGCAGACATGCACATCGTAGCGTCCCCTCGCCCAGTGTGGGGTGCTATCTTTTCCGGTGTTTAAGAGCTCGTCGCTGACCGACTGGTTCTGGAATCCAGTAAAAAAGCTGATCAGTCCGAGTTTTATTAGAACAAAAGTGGAAAATTCAGACGAAAAAAACATGGCTTGCGTCATTTTTTTTTGTTGGTTCAAAAACCGACAACTGCACGGATCTGGGGAAATTTAAAGACATAGCTAAATTCTCCCACACCTGAAATCAGCGATTTCTGGGATATCCCCTTCTTTTTCACCATAAAAAAAGGTCGCGATATACACACAACAAAAAGTTGGTCCTATCTTCTGTCATTTCTGCTGTTGACAAACAATAAAATCCATTGAGCAGTGCTCGGAACCCTCTGTCATTCGATTATACTGATTGGTTCATAGGGATTCCGACTATTCCCACTTCATGGATTGTTGACGCTCCATACATACGGTATATCATATTAGGATGTATAATATATATATATATGTTGGGTAGTATATGGTAGTATAGTATTAATATATAGCTATTGGGATATATGGGGTAGCCTAGTATCAAGAAAAAAAACGATACAACTTATATCAAATCCCCCGAACTAATCAACAACCAGCCGAACTTGGCGTCGCCTGGACTTCCTGCGGCACGGTTTTATCTGCCTGGAGCGTTTCACCGGGGATCCGACGTGGGCTGCAGCTGCACCACCCAAGTAGGGATACAAAAAAAAATGAGAAATTAGGTATGGTAATATGGTAGGGATAGACTATTGAGAATCTAGGTATGTTCATGGAAAGTTATGAAAGTTGTATGATGTTAGGCATGATCAACCTTGATCAACCGGCATGGGCTGTCCATATCTATGTCATGGTCAGAGTTCTGCCTCTGGAACCATGGCCTTGGAGGGTGTAACCACCGTTCAAAACACCACAAGTATACAAGTCAGGTTCAAACCACAAGAAGGAACATGCACGGATGCACATACAAGGACCTCTTTTTTTGATTTTTAAGCGATCTGATCTGGGGGACTGGGGGACCATTTGGCCTTGCCTTCAATATTGCCTACAAAGTTGAGAAAGGGGATGGCCACTCGAGTAGCAGGGTGAACCAAAACCCTGAGTGTTGGATTCGAGTCACCTTTAAGGGGGAGATCAGTCTGGGTATGGGTCAAAATTCGATGAATCACAAAATATCGTGACAATCTTAGTGCTACCCATAGGATCCATGTATGGTATATATGCTAACATTTGGGGTATATTGATGGTAAATGTTACCATATATATATATACATATAGCATACATGGATCCTATGGGGTAGACTTTGGGCTAGAGGCCTATAGGAAGTTGCGAGACAACTCCAACCCATATGTGTCTTTCTGCGGTACAGAAATTTGAAATCATTTCAGAGATTTGAATCCCCGTGTTGCAAAATATGCAAATCCAACCCGCCGAGAAGTAAGAGTGTGAAACTGACAACCATCTGTCTGAAAATGACTTCCATACTGTTCATTAGCCCCCCAAAAAATGGTTCAACATTGAAGCAATCATAGTGAATATGTGAACATATGTGAATAATTATATGCAAATTAGGAATCTGCCATAAGCAAAGACCAACGACAAGAATTTCGGGTCGTTCTTGAAGAACCCGACAATGGGTCATAGATTGGGGCGATTTCGCTACCGTCCCACCGACCAACCCTGCCATGTGTTGGGGGTTGGAAGACTCTGATACGCTTGCCTCTAAAACTGGGTGATTCTCAAAGTCTATATGGGTATGTCTGAAAATGGGGTATACCCCCAATTATAGCCATTTAGTAGGGATAATGATCATTAACCATTGGGTGTAGGGGTACACTATTTTCAGACAAACCCATATGCTGGTTGGGAGGATGGTGACTATATTCCGTGGTGCAGTCGGTGTAAGTTTAACAATCTGGACACGCAAATAGGTGAACCCCCTGTGTCCGAATGGCCGCTTCAACCACCAACCAAACAGTCTGACAGGGACCAGTTCATCTCCTGCCAACCAGCTATCGTGGTTCCTCAAAAAGACTAAACAATCTTTTGCAGGATATTGTTGGTGGTTTTTACACCATAGCTTACAGGTTTCCAACATTTTCTCCCCTGCGGTTGCCAGAACTTTGATTCTCCATTTGGGAACACAAAACCCTACAATCCTCCACTGAAACAAACACACCTTTGGACCATCCATATGACCCAACCTCAACGATGTCAACCCCCCTCATGCAGGACCTTGCGCATGATGTTGGCGATGTACTTTGCCTCCTGCTCGTTGCCCCACTTCAACCTCTGCTGATGTTTAATCAAAATTCGAGGAGTCGGGGCGGAACCTCCGTCCACTGGGGGTAAAATCTACAGGGGGGCAAAACATGTTGGCAATGTGCAGCCGCTTTTTTGATTCAGTTGTATGGAAACCAACATAATGATATGTGGGGTTGTTTGAATATGGTACCCCAAATCGGGGGGATACCATGTACGACTTTCAGACACACACTTAAATATAAAGTTAGTTATATCTCCCCTTAGAGCTCCATTTTTCCCACGATATCCACTCTATTTGATGCTGAATTTCAAGCAATAGCCAGGATCAAAGCCATCTTGGTGAAAAAGAAACTCACCTGGTTGGTGGTTCAGCCACCCCTCTGAAAAATATGAGTTCGTCAATGGGAAGGATGACATCCCATATAGAAAATGGAAGTCATAAAATTCCATGGTTCCAAAGCCATATTGGGGGCCACTTTTTTGGTGGGATTTCCAATGAAATCACCAGAAGATCATGAAACTTAACACAGCTACACATGTCACACACCCGTGCGTTCATCTATTGTTGCTTCCATGTATATATCCAACATATCCCCATTTTTAGCTGGTTATACTTGGGAGTTTAGTTCCACTTATGTTCCACTTACAGTATATACAAGTGCATATTCACCATAGAGTAAATCCACTTATATTCACTTATAAGGTGAATAAACAACCAATTATATATCCAGTTATTACTAATTGGTTGCTTATTCACCTAGACCCCAGTTCTGGAGATCCCCAGTTGGCGCTTAGCGACAGCAAGGTGTAGGCTTCACCGGAGTCTTCGGCACGACCTGACCAGCAAGGATCGGCTGTCATAAAACATATGAAACATTTATGAACAGCAAAGGACACATTGGATAAATCATCGTTTATAATATCATAATGTTGTATATTGGTTTGATGTATCATAAATGAGTGTTGCTCCAATCCTACCGTCAATAATATGAGACTCTATAATCATTTGTAATCAAACGATATGGACATCTCCCGGAGAAATGGTTTTTTTCACCACATGCCAAATATAATGCCAGATGTCCTGTGGATGGGCCAGCGAAATCCTGCACCACCAAAAGGATGGTTAAAACCCCAACAAAATCATGGGATAAACCATCTATCAACTGGTGATACCCGGATTTCGCAACCATCCACAGTATCAGCTGGCCCATCCCCTGGTTGATGTCGTTCCCCAACCAAAAAATTGGCGAATTTGGTGAAATCATCTCACAACGGGTCCTCCATGAAAAAAGGAGGTCATGTTGATCGCAAGTCCATGGCTTTTCGAGTTCACAAAAACTGCCAAAGAGTTCGCAAAAAATCTGAAAAAATCACCAATCTTCCAGTACACAGGTCTTCTAAATCACACAAAATCTGCATCAAGTGTGTTCATACAGAAAAGTAGTATCTGTTCCAATTGTGTCACTGTCCGTAGACAGCAGCTCCACCGCGAGCCGACATATCTCTGTATCCTCCTGGAGTTGAAATCCTGTTGTCGCACTGTTGTCACTCATGCTGCACAGGTTGTCATGAAGACCCAATATATTGGGTAGTATAATCTCATGAAATCATCAACCAACCATCATGTATCACTTATATTCACCACATTGTTGATGTTCAAAAAAAATAGAACCCATGAATTGCATGGCTATCTTCCCATCAGCCGAAAAAAGGGCTTCCTTTCGCAAGCACCTGTGCGTCCAATTCGGTGCACATAGTCCTCCTGGCCCTTGGGCGCCTGGGGATAAAAAAAGGCGATGACTGAGGCAATCTTTTGCCGAAGCTTGGTGTCATCCCCTGGTAATTTCGAAACTCCATAGGGTCTATTATGGTTAACTATGATGGGATATTTGATATTAATAGTGGCTAATAGTGGTTAATGATGGTTAATCATTGGTTAATTATTGCTGGTTGGTGGTTTCAACCTACCCCTCTGAAAAATGATGGAGTGAAAGTCAGTTGGGATTATGACATTCCCAACTGAATGGACAGTCATAAAAATCATGTTCCAAACCACCAGGGGTCAATATGGGTCAATCCGATTTTGCTGGCAAAGGCTGAGACACATCTGAACTTGAATGGATCAAAACACCCAAACTGGATACGACCAGCGAAAACAATGGGAATTGACCCAACAAATGATATATAGCCCACTTACAAACTGGGATGAACCAGCAAGTAACTACGCAAAACGGCCTATTTGTAGATTCTGTCTATTAAACATCATGATTTTCCATAGCAAACCGTTGGTTTACTGGAGGGTATCTAGCCATTTCGGTGGTAGACCTGAAAATGGGGTGTATCTGCCACATGCCCATTTTGATAGGAATATATAATAATAGAGGATAATAGCATTGGATAATGATGATGAACCAATGTTTATGGATCTCGGATATGTGAGGTACAAAAGAGGAACATATGGAAACATATGGTCAACCAGCTAATTTGGGGTACCCTATAGTTTAGGTAAACCGATGTGATTCTTGGAATTGTTAGATCTAAAATGGTCTAAGCCGGGTTTACCCTCTGGTAAACTGTTACATAACTATGGAAGATCACCATTTTGTAGCTGGGGAAATCCACGATTTCGACTGGGCCATTTTCAATAGCTATGATAGTTTACCAGAGGGTATATCATCAAACAACTTGTTCTATCCGTCTAGCTGCTAGAAGACAATGGATTCCACTGGTGATATTTCGTGTACCACAAAAAGAACAGGGGAGTGGTTGGAAGAAAATGAAGGGAACAACAAAAACAGAAGACAAAGAGATTATCGCATGATCAAAAACACTGGTTGCCTGTAAGACACCATACCAATTCTCAGGTTTCTTCCAAAACCCATTCATACCTAAACTATACATACCCTAAAGATCCGAAAATGATACTTCTTTTCGGTACAGCGAACAAGCTAAGTAGCTGTAGATGTTGGAGGGAGCATATCCTGCCGATTTCTGTATCCTCATCCAATGGTTGCTGAATATTATGCAGCCACATATTGGGTTATGATTCCGCATCATATTAAGCGTTTTCTTCCCCCAAGGCCCAATATCATGGCGGTTAATGTCAAGTCAGGATTAATCAACAGCCCGTTATTAATCATCCTCCTCCTCCCCCCAAAAAAAATGCAATTAAAAAACAGGTGGTCCCCCAGTATTAATAAACACCCCCGATTAAAAAACCTCCAGTGCTGAAATCCATTTTTTATCCAACAATGTTTATTTCCAATTCTATTTATTTCCATTTATTTTTTACATTTTTTTTAATCATCATTGTTATACTTAAGGTTTAAGTTGATCATTGAAAATTTCAAAAAACAACTATTCCCCAAATGATCGATTTTTAATTAAAATCTTTATAAAAATCATCAGTTTGGATAGCTCCCAAAGGGTACCCCCCATGAGCCCATGTCCCCCATTAATAATAACCAGGGTTTACTCCTGATTAATCAACCACCTTTCTGATCCATGAGATTTTAACAAATCCAATGGAATTCTATTAAGATCTAATTGACGTAAGCCATATCCAAAGTTTTATGGTTCAGAGTTGCTTCTTATTAAGGGATGTTTAAGAAAATGACCTACAAGGTAGAGTTCCCACCTTCTGGGGGGGGGTTATTAATCCTGACTTGGCATTATATAAATCCACATATTTGGTTGTCAAATAGAAACTATGTATGGAACAATTATGGAACACTATGGCATTATTGTGAACAAATATGAAGAAATATATCATTGCACTCTTTGTCGATTCAAACCACGTGATTTTTTTTTCCGAATCCACCGAAGTTCGACCGCTGGGGCGAAGGACATCAAAGTTCACCACGATGGCGCAGTTTCGCACGTCCAAACCACCTTAGGGTGGGGAACAAGAAACTGGAACCACTGGAATAACAAAATAGTAACACTTAGTAGTACCAGAAAAATAGAAAAGTAAATCATCATTTTTCTAGTAGGATCTACGTACATGTTACCTTTTTATATATATATATATTATATATCTATATTTTAAAAGTGGCTGCAAACAATTGCCCAGGTACCAAGTCAGATTGGAAGATACAGGATGATACAGGAAGTAGCAGAATCTGAGTATCGAATGAAATTCTATAATCCCATCTCCCTCACATTCAATATGCACCGTTTGGACAACAAAAATGAATAGATAGCCCGAAATTGGAAGGTTTGGTACTAAATATGACCATCGTGGGCAGTTCGCAAAGGTCTGCAAGTTCAAAATAGTTTGGCTCATAGCCAACTAAAATTCTGCCTCCACATATTCGTGATCTGGGTTCATGTTCAATCCCAAACCTAGGATATGTTCATCTTTAGCTTCTGTTCATTCTAGTATTCATCAACGATTTAAGATTGTCGCAAACATGGATTCATAGTTGGGAAATCCCCAAAAAATACCCTATGAATCCAAACACCTCCTGAGAAGGTACGGCTAACCACCCAAATCATACCCCAGTCCCACTTCCTAAGAAGGTACGGCTGGATCCACAGGGATAACATCACCAACCCGACTTGTGCGCTAACGGTCATGACTTGACCCACACCCGCTGTTCTGGCAATTTTTACACTAACTCACAAACCTGAAACCGTTTGGAGGAATATGACAATCGAATCACCATCTATGGAGCGTCATAACATCATGTACCCAAGTCTAAAAAAACGACGGAAAAATGATGTTTGAATCCTTACATCAGCTATATATTTAAGATGATTCGAACATATCGGTAGGTAAAACCGAAGTTTCCTGGTCAGAATCCCCATTTTTCAGGGGTCGCTCCATCATACTGCGCACAGCGTTGGTGATCAAATCCACGTTGTTCATACTTAAATCAAACATAAATCAGCTTAAACCATCTTAAGTCATCTTGAAACATCTAAAACCATCTCAAATCATCTTAAATCATCTTAAATCGATGGATTTTTGATGATGTTTGATGGTTTCCGGGATGGATCTCCATTCGATGCATCACCAGTTTTTCAGAACAAGACACGCGAGGCCAAATCGGTCGCCACCAGCACACGGACCTCACCACAATGTGGGGCCCCCAAGATAGCTGAGTTGGTGAACATAACCACAATAACTAGGGTTTATGGTAGTTATAACATATTATAACCATAGTATACCATGGGGTTACAAACCAACTTATAGGAGTAGCGTTTGGGGGCCCCACATTGCAGAATCCGGAGAAAAGAAAGGTGATTTCAAGCAACATGTATTTACACATGATATCATGATATTATCAAATATAATATACAGTAACTAATAAATTACTTTACTTCGTGTGATCCCCACCATGACATTTATACATTTTCTTACTGGCAAATCTTCTGGCATTCTATCTGACATATCTTCTGACATTCTATTTGACATTCTATCTGGCATATCTTCTGGCATATGATCTGGCATATCTTCTGGCATTCTATCTGGCAAATCTTCTGGCACTCTATCTGGCATATCTTCTGGCACTCTATCTGACATATCTTCTGGCATTCTATCTGGCATATTTTCTGGCATATATTCTGACATATCTTCTGGCATTCTATCTGACATATCTTCTGGCATATATTCTGACATATCTTCTGGCATATCTTCTGGCATATCTTCTGGCATATCTTCTGACATATCTATCTGGCATATCTTCTGGCATATTTTCTGGCATTCTATCTGGCAAATCTTATGGCATTCTATCTGGCATTCTATCTGGCATATCTTCTGGCATATCTTCTGGCATTCTATCTGGCATATCTTCTGGCATATCTTCTGACATTCTTTCTGACATTCTTTCTAACTTTCTTCTGCACATTCTTTGTCCCATATCTTCCTACATGAGGTCCGGCAGGGAACACTTGGCGTGGATACTCGCGGTTGAGGTCCGGCAGGGAACACTGGGCGTGGATGGTCGTGGTTGAGGTCCGGCAGGGAACACTGGGCGAGGATGGTCGTGGTTGAGGTCCGGCAGGGAACATGGGCGTGGATGGTCGTGGTTGAGGTCCGGCAGGGAACACTGGGCGTGGATGGTCGTGGTTGAGGTCCGGCAGAGAACACTGTGGATCGCGGGTCGCAGTTGAGCAAGGACGACGAGGACGACGACGACAAGGGACGACAAGGAGGACGAGGAGGAGGAGGACGAGGCAGGAGGAGGCGGAGGAGGAGGAGAAGGAGGAGGAGGAGAAGGAGGAGGAGGCAACTGACATAAAATCTAACAACCCTCACCTGGCAGGTGGGGAAAAATGATATCCTGAATCATAGATAGGTGCATAGTTTGACTTTGATGCGACAATAAACAATAAAAAAATTGACCAACAAACACAAGGGTGTAATCAACAAACGTTGGGCTAGAGTCACTTCAGCTAGATAAAACCAAACAATAATATTCCATGTTGGCTGAGGGAGGAAAATCTAAGTAATCGCCACTTGTACTTATAATCCCATCCCTTGTAAGTGCTTGGCAACCACATGGTCTGTCTGACAACGTAAATATATATATATATATATTATATATAATATACACACAATATCCGCCGACCCCGGCCTTCGCCAAGGCAGGGGCGGCGCCTGGGACCACCGCAGGTGTGGAGCCTGTTTTTGTTGGCTTGCTACTACCTTGCCTTCTGCCAGGCACTCAGGCCACTGCCCTGTGTTGTTAAGGGCGTTCAAGCCTGCCGTTTGCCAGGCCTCAAATGCCTCAAACGCTGCGCGGCAGCTTCGAGCAGGCACTCAGGCCGCTGCCCTCTGTTGTTAAGGGCGTTCAAGCCTGCCGTTTGCCAGGCCTCAAATGTCTCAAACGCTGCGCGGCAGCTTCGAGCAGGCACTCAAGCCACTGCCCTCTGTTGTTAAGGGCGTTCAAGCCTGCCGTTTGCCAGGCCTCAAATGCCTCAAACGCTGCGCGGCAGCTTCGAGCAGGCACTCAAGCCACTGCCCTCTGTTGTTAAGGGCGTTCAAGCCTGCCGTTTGCCAGGCCTCAAATGCCTCAAACGCTGCGCGGCAGCTTCGAGCAGGCCCTCAGGCCACTGCCCTCTGTTGTTAAGGGCGTTCAAGCCTGCCGTTTGCCAGGCCTCAAATGCCTCAAACGCTGCGCGGCAGCTTCGAGCAGGCACTCAGGCCACTGCCCTCTGTTGTTAAGGGCGTTCAAGCCTGCCGTTTGCCAGGCCTCAAATGCCTCAAACGCTGCGCGGCAGCTTCGAGCAGGCATTCCGGCCACTGCCCTCTGTTGTTAAGGGCGTTCAAGCCTGCCGTTTGCCAGGCCTCAAATGCCTCAAACGCTGCGCGGCAGCTTCGAGCAGGCACTCAGGCCACTGCCCCTAAATGCCTAAAACGCTCCGCGGCAGCTTCGACCAGGCACTCAGACCATTGCCCTCTGTTGTTAAGGGCGTTCAAGCCTGCCGTTTGCCAGGCCCCAAATGCCTAAAAGCTCCGCGGCAGCTTCGAGCGGGCGTTCAAGCCTGCCGTTTGCCAGGCCTCAAATGCCTCAAACGCAGCTTCGAGCAGCCTGGCCCTTGTTGTAAGGCTTCAAGCCTGCCGTTTGCCAGGCCTCAAATGCCTCAAACGCTGCGCGGCAGCTTCGAGCAGGCACTCAGGCCACTGCCCTCTGTTGTTAAGGGCGTTCAAGCCTGCCGTTTGCCCTGCCGTTTGCCAGGCCTCAAATGCCTCAAACGCTGCGCGGCAGCTTCGAGCAGGCACTCAGGCCACTGCCCTCTGTTGTTAAGGGCGTTCAAGCGTGCCGTTTGCCAGGCCTCAAATGCCTCAAACGCTGCGCGGCAGCTTCGAGCAGGCACTCAGGCCACTGCCCTCTGTTGTTAAGGGCGTTCAAGCCTGCCGTTTGCCAGGCCTCAAATGCCTCAAACGCTGCGCGGCAGCTTCGAGCAGGCACTCAAGCCACTGCCCTCTGTTGTTAAGGGCGTTCAAGCCTGCCGTTTGCCAGGCCTCAAATGCCTCAAACGCTGCGCGGCAGCTTCGAGCAGGCATTCCGGCCACTGCAGCTCCGCGGCAGCTTCGACCAGGCACTCAGGCCACTGCCCTCTGTTGTTAAGGGCGTTCAAGCCTGCCGTTTGCCAGGCCTCAAATGCCTCAAACGCTGCGCGGCAGCTTCGAGCAGGCACTCAGCCACTGCCCTCTGTTGTCAAGGGCGTTCAAGCCTGCCGTTTGCCAGGCCTCAAATGCCTCAAACGCTGCGCGGCAGCTTCGAGCAGGCACTCAGGCCACTGCCCTCTGTTGTTAAGGGCGTTCAAGCCTGCCGTTTGCCAGGCCTCAAATGCCTCAGGCCACTGCCCTCTGTTGTTAAGGGCGTTCAAGCCTGCCGTTTGCCAGGCCTCAAATGCCTCAAATGCTGCCGACCCATTTAGCTATCGACCTATCTACCTATCAATCTATCAATCTATCAATCTATCTCTCTCTCTCTACAGGACCCCCCAAATAGGGGGGGTCGGCGGCACCAGGGCGCTAGCCCATTCTATAAATTATAAGTATATAAACAAATTGAACATCCTTAAGGCGTTCATATGGCCTTCATGAATCCCCCATGGGTGTACCCGTTGCATCATCTCCCATTGGCGCGGCGCCATGGCCTCGCCCTGCTTGAATCGGTAGAGCGCGCTGTCCTTGGTCCAACGGATCCGCGGGGTGTGTGAGAAGAAACGAATGGGGTCTCGACCCTCTGGGAATCAAAATATACCCTCTGGTAAACTATCATAGCTATTGAAAATTGCCATTTATAGTGGATTTTCCCATTAAAAATGGTGATTTTCCATAGTTATGTTAGTTTACCAGAGGGTAGATATAAAATGATATAAATATATTGTAGAACTATTATATGATTACATATCCCATCTGGCAATGAAACATGGCAATGGCAAATTCACCATAGACTGGTTGGTGGTATACCTACCCCTCTGAAAATATGAGTTCGTAAGTTCCAGCATTTATAGCTGGTTGGTGGTGCAATAACCATCTTGAAAAATATGAGTCATTGGGAAGGATGACATCCCATATGAAATGGAAAAATAAAAACCAAATTACCCTCTGGTTATTTCGCATAACTATCAGAAAAATCCACAATTTTTAATAGGTATATTTCTATGGGTCATTTTCCATGGCTATGTTAGTCATAACCAGATGGTAGCATTTATAGAAATACCATCTAAACCAATGGAAATCAAACTTCCAGCCAATGGAAAACACCCCAATTATACCAGTAGTACCGCACAAGGCGGTGGCGGAAGTTTCAAAAATAGGAAACCTATAGGAGAGCTTGGTTGTTGTGAATCAGGGATGGCAGAGCGAAGCCACTGATGGACTGAAAGGTGCTTGATCTCTCTCTCTCTCTCTTTCTCTCTCTCTCTCTCTTTTTCTCTCTGTTTCTCTATCTTTCTCTGATTATCTACCTACCTACCTACTGATCTATCTGTCTATCTATCTCTCTCCCTCTCTGTCTGTCTATCTATCTCCCTATCTATCTATCTATCTACCTACCTATCTAGCTGTCTAGTTTTCTAGCTATTTGTCTATCTCTCTATCTCTCTATCTATCTATCTATCTACCTATCTATCTATCAATCTTTCTATCTATTTATCAATCCGTCTACCTATCTATCTAGCCATCTATCTTTCTACCTATCTATCTATCAATCAATCTATCTATCGATCTATCTGTCTATGTTTCTACGTATCCATCTATTAATCTATTAATCTATCTATCTATCTATCTATCTCTCTCTCTCTCTCTGTCTGTCTGTCTGTCTGTCTGTCTGTCTGTCTGTCTGTCTGTCTGTTTATCTATCTACCTGTCTATCTGCAAGCTTGAAGACCAAGCTATTCTGCGAGATGTCTTCATTTTTCAAGGTTGACAACATCAAAAACGAAGCAATTCTGCGAGACTTCCTCAATGTTTGAACTTAACAACCTCAAAAACGAAGCAATTCTGCGAGACCTCTTCATTTTTCAAAGTTGACACCCTTAAAAACGCAGCAATTCAGCGAGACTTCCTCAACTTTTGCATTTGACAACATCAAAATCAAAGCAATTTAACTATGTATCTATCTATCTATCTACCTATCTATCTACCTATCTATCTATCTGTCTACCTACCTACCTACCTATCTATCTATCTATCGATCGACCGATCGATCGATCGATCTATCTATCTATCTATCTTATCTTATCTTATCTTATCTTATCTATCTTATCTATCTCTCTCTCTCTCTCTCTCTGTCTCTCTGTCTCTCTGTCTGTCTGTCTGTCTGTCTGTCTGTCCGTCCGTCCGTCCGTCCGTCCGTCCGTCTGTCTGTCTGTCTGTCTCTCTCTCTCTCTCTGTTCTCTGTCTGTCTGTCTGTCTGTCTGTCCGTCCGTTTGTCTGTCTGTCTGTCTGTCTGTCTGTCTGTCTCTCTCTCTCTCTCTCTGTTCTCTGTCTGTCTGTCTGTCTGTCTGTCTGTTTATCTATCTACCTGTCTATCTGCAAGCTTGAAAACCAAGCTATTCTGCGAGATGTCTTCATTTTTCAAAGTTCACAACATCAAAAACGAAGCAATTCTGCGAGACTTCCTCAGATCAGCTCCTTGGCAATGGCCTTGGCGTCGTCTGCATCAGGTAGAAAATCTCGGTTTCCCCAACCATAGACGATGGGCAGGGGCCTCTGTTTCGGTTTGATGCAGTCATTAACCAGGTATATACCTCTGAAACCAATATTATAGTTGATTTATGTTGCTTTTCCCATAAACAAAGTGGTGTATCTTTCCATGGTGTTTTGTATGACCAGAGGCTAACCAGATGTAAAGAAATGCCAGGCTTCTCTTTGTTTCTGATCCAGATCACCATGGAGCTCCACCGCGGGCATACCTGGAGGCCAGGGCCAGGGCCCAACCGCTGGCGATGGGGATATTCATGTTCTGGTAAACTAATGGAGGTTTAATGGGCTTACTATGGTTTACTATGGCCGAAGATAGGGATGTCTGGTAAACTAATGGAGGTTTAATGGGTTTACTATGGTTTAATAAGGCCTTATAGGTATGTCAGATAAACTAATGGAGGTTTACTATGGTTTAATATGGCAGAAGATAGGGATGTCTGGTAAACTAATGGAGGTTTAATGGGTTTACTATGGTTTAATAAGGCCTTATAGGTATGTCAAATAAACTAATGGAGGTTTACTATGGTTTAATATGGCCGAAGATAGGGATGTCTGGTAAACTAATGGAGTTTTAATGGGTTTACTATGGTTTAATAAGGCCTTATAGGTATGTCAAATAAACTAATGGAGGTTTACTATGGTTTGTTATGGCCTTATAGGGGATGTCTGGTAAACTAATGGAGGTTTAATGGGTTTACTATGGTGTAATATGGCCGAAAATAGGGATGATCATGGGATAATGATGGGATAATACTGGGATATTAATGGATATACCCTCTGGCAAAACTAACAGTTTGCTATTGAAACTGGCCATAGAAAGTTGGTTCTTCTACCCACTCAAAACCTGGTGATTTTTTCCTTAGTGTGATGTAAAAGGTTGCCAAAGGGTATTTCATTGGTGTATGCTGCGATATCATAGTGTATAACCCAAACATATACTGGGAGATACTGGGATATACTTTGGTGTACTGGCATATGGTATATGGTCTCGTCATGTCTCGTCCAAAAATGGGGATACCACCAAAGTGCTTCGTTTTAATGGGAACCAATGATGACAAACCATTCAATTTACTCGGATCTCAAAGTAGATGGCTCAGAATCTTGAGTTGCGCCATCTATGTCCAAAAAAAAATGGGGATAGATGGCTCAACTCCCTTTAAAACAGGCCAGTTGAGCCATCTATGTCCCAAAAAATTACATATTTTTTGCAATCTTCTGCGCTGGTTTCCCCCCAATTTTTTTTCTCAACATCAACCTGCCTTTTTGGGACATAGATGGCGCAACTCCCACTCATTCGCCAAAATCAGGCTGGGAGTGCCCACATAGATGGCGCAACTCCCTCATATCTCCCGACATCCATCAACCAACCTAACCAAAATATGCCACATCGATCAGAGTTATCCCAAGACAGGAGGCAAAACCACATGAGGGAGTTGCGCCATCTATGTGGGCATTCCCATCCTGATTTTGGCGAATGAGTGGGAGTTGCGCCATCTATGTCCCAAAAAGGCAGCTTGATGTTGAGAAAAAAAATGGGGGGAAACCAGCGCAGTGCCAATTTTCCACTTGGGTTCGCCCCGGAAAACGGACCCCACCAAGTGTCAAGTTTCCTTTGGGAAACTCAGGAAAAAGCTCTTTTTCGGGGGACTTGGTGGGGTCCGTTTTCCGGGGCCAAGCAAAGTGGCAAATTGCCAGAGCGTAGAAGACTGCAAAAAAAAGGACAACTCTGATCACCGCCCCGGGGAGACACAACGGGGAGACACAACGGGGAGAAACAACGGGGAGAAAGAAAGGGGAGAAAGAAAGGGGAGAACATAAAGAAAAAACAACATGAAAAATGTCACTTTTATAGTTTGTAAACCAGAAAAACTGCTTTGGTAACATATTGAAATGTTAAATTTGTGCATATGTGCTGAATAATTTGATTTTAAAAAAAACAAATTATTTCTATCCAAAATTCTGTCCACAACCAATGTTAGAACATTCAGTGGATCATTTTCAAGGTATTGCAATGATTTTTTTTTTTACTGCATTTGTTTTTTTTTTTATATATGTTTGTCAAAATATGTTGAAAAATGAGATTTCTATCCATAAATTCTGCCCACAATCAGTTTTAAAACATTCAGTGGTTCATTTTCAAGGTATTGCAATGAAATTTTAAAACATTGAATGCGATTTAAGGGACATAGATGGCGCAACTCATTTTTTAACCCACCGATTTTTTTCTGGCGTTTGAATGAGATTTAAGGGACATAGATGGCGTAACTCATGTTCAAGGTATTGCATTGATTTTTTTGAAGATTTGAATGCGATTTAAGGGACATAGATGGCTCAACTCATTTTTGAACCCATCGAAAAATAAATTTCTGGCGTGTTGAATGGGATTTAAGGGGCATAGATGGCGCAACTCATTTTTAGGATAAAAAATCTAGGGGAATTGTATATATAATATATTTACAATACAAACATGTGTAATCTACAGTATAAACAAGCAAAAATGATCGGAAATGTAGTAAACTTAGTTAACAATACCCTTATATATATGTCCATATTATACTGGAGTGGCAGTTGCGCCATCTACCTTCTCATTTTAAAGTAGGGCGATTGTTTCTTCAATTGGCGGAACTCGTTTTATGTTCCAGCTAAAATAGCGCCGTTTTCTTTCTCAGCGCGCGGTGCAATCTTATGGGTATTTTGGTTTTTGAGTTGAGCCATCTACTTTCAGTTCCATGTATTAATTGGGGTTGACAAATGTTCAGACTGATCCAAGCAAATGACAATCAGTTAAACTCTGTGGCCCATCTACATAAGCAGAAATTGCATAGCCACTTCCCATTGAAAGATGTTGCTTATGTTCAATTTCTTTTTCCAAGACATAGAGGTCGACCTTAAAGACCTCCAAGAATCCCTGAAATTCACTGTATCACTGGATGTATTCATGTTCGAGTCTCTTTCAAGGGGCATATCTCTTCAAAGGTTTATTATTAGGTGGATAGGCCGGACGGGATTGCTACCCATGGTACCACATCGGGCCGGTCGAATCCGTGGCTATATGTTGCCATCTGTTGCCCCGTGGAACCACAGAGCCTGTTTTTGTTTGGTGAAAATATTTCTGATATTATATATACCCTCTGGTAAATTAACATAGACCCTGGCAGATAGGGGTTGGAAAACTAGTTTCCATTAAAACTTGGTGATTTTCAGGGTCTATGTTAATTTACCAGAGGGTATATATATATAATATGTTTATGGTGATACATGTGTGTCTCTGTTGAATATGAACATTTCTTGATATTTGATATCAGGACCCTTTGCCCAGTCATGCTTTTAAGGTCAATGTACCATCTAACCAAGTATAATGGGGATAGAATGGGAATAGCATGGCGATAATCCAACCAACCCGTCACATTCCGTCACATCCCCTTTTTTGGGGGTGGTCATAACTGGGTCCCATTCCCCTGATATTACCTCGATGACGCCCCAAGATCAATTGGTCCAACGCAGTGAGACCTATCCCCCAAAGACTGGACAGCGGTGCCATGGTCTACATGGGATGACTGCGATGTGATCCATAAAAAAAACCATGGGAATCCTTGCGATGGGTATACAAAAAATCCATGATTGATTGATCAACAGTCCCCGAACATTGGCAAGTTATCCAAAAATTTGACCACATTTAAAGGTCCTGTATATATCGGTGATGGATCATTCACCCATCATTGTTCTCCCTAATCACATTCGAGCAGTGATGAAAACCCTATGTCGTCCTTTTTTCGATTTGCGCCAGCGGAGAATCACAAGCTGAAAGCATGCAGGCATGTGGCCGCCCTCGCACCTAAAACAAACCTCGGAAATGGCCCACAGAGCCCAGAGACTTCTTCACCGTTTTGATGCTGGTGAGTCCCCGTCTGCGAAGCTCTCGGTCAATCTGAGTGAATTCAGAAGGGCTCGCTCGCAATTGCAGACATCGCTGCCACGCTCTAAAAGACGAGCCCCACGGTAGCTGGAGGTGTGCCTCCGCTGAAAGTCCCATCAAGTTTGCATACGCACGTATGAGTGCCTGCATCCAGCTCGAAAGCTTAAGGAAGTCATGCCCATTATTGTCAATGAACGCCAAAGGCACTGGCTGCCACCCGCAACGCAGGCACCTTTCGCGTGCTGGCTTTCAGCGCAAAACACGTATAGGTGCTTCATCTTTCGTGGGCTTCTGACCGAAGTGGCTAAGTAGCCGGTCGTCCTTTTATACCGGTTGAATGGTCAGGTTTCCCAATAGTCTATTGCGATAAACCCTAATATCAACTAACAGGGGTATTGAAAAATGTTCATTCATTTATGGTGTTGTTGTGATGTTGTGGTTGTGATGTTGTGGTGATAATATTGTAATAGTTCGTAATTCACCAACCATCCATTCAAGTGATGTAAGAGAGTGTGCTCAACAACTCCGTGTTCAGATCGGTTGTCAACGGATGTCAACGGCACAGAAGTGCCACCAAATATGGGGACGGTACAGCGGCAAAATCTTCCACACTGACCTGTTTTAGCACTTGAATCCGTACAATGATTTTTACTTGTCCCTGATCAGGATGGGCAAAGAAAGCCACAATTTGCAAAGAGACTGGACGCACAGCTGGCATCATACGCCTAGCTAGGGTGCGAATGAAAACGCTACGCTGGCGTTTGCCCAAGATGATGAATCCCCGACAGTAGAAAAATTGAGTTTTTTTTGCTGCACCAAGGGGTCAAACATCGACATTGGTGAGTAAACATCGACTTTGCACAAATGCGTGAGTAAACTTCGACATTGGACAAATACGTAGGTAAACATCGACATTAGACTTTCAGGGTATACATATATATATAATTATTATTATTGTTATAATTAGTAATAATAATTATTATTATATATGTATATATATATATACACCCTGCTAAAGTATGCAAAAATATGTTTGTTGGTGAGTCTAATCTTACAATTTATAATATCCAAATATACCACAGTTGGCCTTAAATCCGAAAAATATGCAAAAACAGGCCTCAAAATACTATTCATTAGTTCTCACTTCGTTGCAACTAGAAAACATACCCCAAGTTACCCTCTGCTAAACAAACATAACTATTGAAAATTGCCATTAAAAAATAGTTGATTTACTCACTAAACATGGTGATTTCCAATAGTTATGTGACAAATTGCCAGAGGCTAATCTGACAAACTCATGTTTGGCCCAGCCGGTGAAACACCAGTTCCACCCTGTGCCTAGTTCCTTGTCGCTTTCCAGATCCCACACCACGTTGCCACATTTCCTGGTCGACTGTCGGTGATTCACTAGGGGATGCCAATTCTTGATCCTTTCATGGCCCATCTTGGATACCCAAACTGTTACGCAACGCAACCATAGCTGTTTAGCTGATCAGGATACACACATATATATATATAGAGTATATATATATATTGGAACAAAAGTGTGTTGAATTACCCAGTTCCCATCAGTTCCCACCAAATTTTGGCTTTGGCTGTTTCATCTATACTAAAACCATTTTCAAACACAACCAAATACCAGTATCATATTGCTGGATATATCCCCGTTGTATTGCCACCATATCTCCATCAAATGGTTGGTCCTATAACCTCATCACTGTCATGGCTAGTTATATGATATAACTAAGTTATATTCATGTTATATGTGTTCATAGAATCTATCACAATTATTTTCCCATTGCAACATATTCCATGCATATCCCATGTTGGTTGTATCACTATTAAACCAACCATTAAAGCAGGACATAAGTTGTATCACACATCACCAATTCGTGGAATTTCTAGGGATAATTTGCCAATGCTGGGAGTCCCATGGGGTCCCTAGAAATTACCACAGAAATTCCTAGCAGCCAGCGGCCCGCATTTGTTTGGTTGGTTTGTCATGTCATACAAGTGAGACAGCATGTGTTGCTACAAATGAAACCATATTGAATGGGATATGGCAGTGTGTCAAAACCCTATACCCCTGGTGGACATCAAAATAGCTGGTAAATGGATGTTCATCCCACTAAAAATGGTATTAATAGGTATTGATCCATACCCATATTAGTGGGATATACATCACACCGAATATACTTATCTTGAAAAGGACACCATCGTTGTTCACCATCTTTTGCCGACATCATGTGACGTCCCACAGACTATTTTCAGATCTCATTGAATCCCAGTTATATCATGTTATACCTGTGTTTGTGTTGTTTCTTGTCATTAACTATGAACACTCATCAGTCATCCTGTCAGTTGCAAAACAGATCTCTGTTGTGTTTCGCTGGTTCCAAAGTATTAACACTATCACCAAACCATGAAGGCATATTGAATGGGATATCAAAGGCTAGTTCAAATAATGTAGCGTCAACTGGGTGTGCAAGTGCTAGAGAATCTCTATTAAAGTACCGCAAGAGAAGTTGAAGCAACACAGCCATGACGTAGTGTCGAGCGGGTGTGCCATGGCAGGAGGAGTTCTCAAGAAGATGCAAGAAGTAGGGTGCGCATGCAAGAAAGGTTCTCAGAACGTGTCTTCAAGCAGGTGCGCAAGTGCAAGAGAAGTTGTTCTAACGTAGCATCATGTAGGTGTGGACACGCAAGGGAAGTTCAGTGCAAGTGTAGGAAAAGTTGAGAAGTGAAGATAGCGTAGCATCAAGTAGGTGCACAGTGTGAAACCATGGCGTTTCCTTTAAACGTAGAGTCAAGCAGGTCCGCAGCAAGTGCAAGAGAAGTAAGAATAACATAGCATCAAGTAGGTGTGCAAATGCAAGAGATGTTCTACGCAAGAACAACGTATTTTTTTTTCAAACATAGCGCTAAGCATGTATGCAAACGCCAGAGAAGTAAGGATAATGAGAAAAAAAAAGGGGGCCCAAGCGCGAGTTTAGTGCATATAACGTAGCGTCAACTAGGTGGGCAAATGCTATAGCTAGATAAGTTCTTTCTGAGTAGCAGCAAGCCGGTGTGCAAGTAGGTTTGCACATGCGAGAACGTTATTGCCCCATTCCACCGCCCCAACCCGGAAAAAAAAGATAAAAAAAGAAAGGTTTTTGGACGCAGCATCAAGTAGGTATGGAAAGGGGCTCACCCATCACTTGCGGCAGTAAGATAAAAATCACTTGCGGCAGTAAAAAACGAACGTTTTTACTGCCACAAGCGATTGGCACATACCGCCACAAGCGAGGTACGAGCCATGGAAAGGCGGCGAGAACAGCGCGTCTGCATGGCCTCTACGAGGTTGCCACCTAAAAACAGCCAAGTCATAAGGCACGGTTGGACCCTCTCTTGGATGGCGCTTGGACGTTGATTCCAGCCTTCCAGAGCACTGGGAACATGTGCACCAGTGTGCCGCTGTCTCTTTCCACAAATCCAAGTAGCTGTTGCCGATGTCGACATGCAACACTTTGGAGTGTGGCCATTCCAGAACACATGAAAGAGCCTCTCAGAAACGCCAGCATTGGCAAAGCCTCTCTCCCTGAACCAATACTGGTTTTAATTGTCTTTGGATCGTAGCTCAGAGTGACTTCCTGCCCGTTGGGAAAAGCCAGGACGACGACATGTCCCTTTGTTTTGCCAGGTTTCAGCCCATATGATTTAACCCAATGTGGCCCCCCAGAAGAAAACAGAAGTAAAATTCTTCCAAAGATCCCCACCAGTATTTAATCTGACATTTGTCCTAACAGTCTCTGACATTCTGTGATTTATATCCTATATATAATTTCACATTTATTTTGATATTCTATCTGGCCTTTATTTTCGCATTCTATCGGATGTGTATTCTCGCATTCTATCTTGCAATTTATTCAACAAACATGTCGACCTTCTTTTGGCATTCTAACTGACGTTCTATCTGACGTAAATTCTGATTTTATGACATTCAATCTGACATGTTGTCTTGCGTTCTACCTGAAGTCACTGAAGCTCATTATTATTACTGTAGCATCTGTTTTTTTCCTGACATTTCTTATCTGCACATGGAATACGAATGAAGTATTAGTGGAATATAAGTGGAGATATATATCATGATATATCTTATAGTTAATAACCATGATACTATTTCAAAAAGTGTTCAAGCGGGAAAAACATTAGATATCACACCACCAATATCCGATTAACATTAGCATTACCATCTGGTTATTTAACAGTTCGCCATGGAAAATCACCATGTTTAAGACCGGTAAACCATCTATTTCTATGGGCCATCTATACCATATGGCGAACTGTTAGTCATAACCAGAGGGTAACCATTATTATTAACCATTCTCAACAATTATTAACCATTATCAACCATTATTAACCACTATTACCCACTACAAAATGATGATCCAGAGGGTATACCTTCAACAAATCCCAAGACATATGTTCCATGGCGATTAACATTAGCATTACCATCTTGTTATTTAACATAGCCATGGAAAATCACCATTTTTAAGAACGGTAAACCATCCATTTCTATGAGCCATCAATTTTTAATAGAGCTATGTTAGTCATAACCAGAGGGTAACATGTTTTTTCCCCATGATACTATCACATAACATCACCAGCATCACCACCTTTCGGCCCAAGCGACTTCTTGGAGTTGCAGAAGACCAAGCAGTTGCCCCCCGGCGACAGCGAACGCAAGATCTCCTTGAGCCTGGCGCAAAACCGGCGTGGCAAGTCCCGGCCCCGGGCACCAGGGGGAGCTTTGAATGGGAAAACATGGGGAAATCCATGGGAATCAGATTTGTTTCCATGCTAAACCGCACTAGATTCACTAAATGGATGTCTTGCAAGTATAAACAAAATAGTATCTATATCTATATCTATACATAATATATATATATACGTATATATATATACATATATATATATATATTGGTACATGGTGGATTTTCCAGCTAGACATGTTTGATCGCCAGAAGGTAGTGATTCGTATGTTGCTGTCAAGTCTTGCTCTTCGGCTCTTCTGGGATGATCATCCATGAGCCCAACTCGCGGGCGTGGGATCATCATCCATTTTCTGGTTTACCATGGTTTACCCTCTGGTAAACAGCCACATAACTATGGAAAATCACCATTTTTAATGGGTAAATTCACTATAAATGGCCATTTTCAATAGCCAGGTTAAATTACAAGAGGGTAATATGGCGGGAAATAGGGATGTCTGGTAAACTAATGGAGGTTTAATGGGTTTACTATGGTTTAATATGGCCGAAAATAGGGATGATCATGGGATAATGATGGGATAATACTGGGATATTAATGGATATACCATCTGGTAAAACTAACAGCTAGCTATTGAACATGACCATAGTTAAATAGTGGACCTATGTGGATTTATCCAGCTATAGCATGGCGATTTTCTATGGTTACGTTAGTTTACCAGAGGGTAGATATGTTAATTTCAAGCATCATCATCACAATAGAAATTGTATATCCAATTGCTATGCTTGAAATTAACATATCTACTTGACACCACCACAGAGTTTATCTCTTTTTCGTCCGTTCATCCCTTGCCGAAACTTTCGTTTCCAGTATCCATCTAGGCAAAAGACCAATAATCAAAGTGTCAAAGTACAGCAAGGTATTTTTTTTCAGGCTCCGAAACCATCCATTCTTTTTCTGGGACCCAATCAACTTGGGAACAGCCCATATGCAGTGGCTGTGCGTCCTGCCCCAGGCCTCATCTGGGACAAAGAAGAGCCAGCTCTTGGAACCAGTTGCATTTATAAATTGATGAATTTAAGACTTTCGGAATAGACATGGGAATGGCCCATTTGCTCAAGATGGCCCAAACAAACAAACAACAAGGCCACATCCCCGCTAGGTTCAACAATTGTTGAATGAGCCGATTCGAAAACATACAAAATCATCTTGAGCAAATCTAAGTCTATATTATCGTATATTGCTGTGTCCAAACACGGTGGATACCCCAACTTATGATTCGTTCGATAGGGAGGAACACGTATTTTTTGAGACCAGGGACAAAAAAACATGAGCAAGAAACATCGAGAAACAATACCACTATAGCCTATTACATTGGTTAGAGTAGATTCAATGATATTCCCAAATCAATGTTACCCTCTGGTAAACTAACACAACTATGGAACATCACCATGTTTAACCGGTAAATCAACTATAAATGGCAATTTTCTATAGCTGGTTGAAGCATGGTTGGTGTTTAACCATTTGATATTAACATTATAATTCCTTATTATATAATTAACATGAAATCAATGCCAAAAATCCCAGTTTAGCCAGGTATTTTTCGCTCATCTCACTCACCATTTCCTCAACGTTGCAGGACCATGCCAGAGATTCATCAGAAATAACCATGAGTTTCAAGTAAACTAACATAGCTATGGAACATGGTAACATGGCCCATATATGCCTGTATATATATATATGTATATATATATATATATATTATGAATTACCCATAACAAAAATCATGATATCCGTAGCTATTGTCAGTTTACCAAGGCTCACTTCTTATATCAACCTTATCATTTCGATGGCATTTTTACTACGTGTTCTTTTCGTGCAAACTTACCCCATCACCATAGGAGCACAGGCGACCGGCGCACGAAGCCAGGCTGGCAGTACGCTTCGATCTTGTCCGTCTCGGCGTCCACCATCTTCACGTGCTGCAGGATGTTCTTGTTCGTAGTGATCTCACCCGAACCTACCGACGTTGATGGTGAGCCATAGTTGGTGATACAATATGATATAGATTGATATAGTGATATTTCGTGGAGGTTTCCAGGTTTCCTAATATAACTCATGGGAACTTTGTTGTTGCCGAGGCCAAAGAATCGTTGGTGAATGTTGGTGATATTTCATGATATACAGCAAAAAATCGAGGTTAATCCTATATAAATCATGGGGATAAGTTTGGTTGGTGACAATAGAAGTACTTAGTTTATAGTTATGATGCTATGTAAATCATTTTATTTATGTGTTTTTGCCTGGGTATGAAATCGAAAACCATTTACATTACATAACTATAAACTTGTAACAACAAATGAATAAATGCCGAATCACCATGATCCCATCAGATTGTATCAGTCTAGTGATGCGGAGACTTCGAAGCTTTGAAAATACCAACCGATCGTGTTATTGCTGCAATATGGGGCTTTACCCAACCCAAATGGGTTTAGAATGGTTTAGACATTATAGATGAACACACAATAGTTCCGCCCGCATGAAAAACCCCATTGTTCAATGTGGAGTCTTAAGAAAATGTCTCTTCTACAAGTTGAAACCCTCCGCACTGATGAAATTCAATTGTCTGGACCAACCATCAGTTCTTTTTTTGTTTTTTGTCGTCTCGATCAAGAAATTTCGCAGCCTTTAATACTGCCCTTGCTGGTGAATCCTTGGAGATATCCCCACTTCGTGCTTGTTCCATCCAGCTTTTGATTTATGGTCAGCCGCTGAGCCCTGTTTCTTTCCGTGAATCCGACTGGACTGGAGACGGGGCGGATTCCCCAAAACGATTCTAGGGGATTCCCCAACGACTGCCGTTGCCGACGGCTGGATTGAAGCTGGGATTCACCATCATTTCTCCTATATGTATAAAATCTCCAAGTTCTGTTCGTCTCACACTACGGGACTGATCGATTTTTTCCACAGCAACTGATCAACTGGATATCTTGGGGTCAGCGATGAATCTGTCCAGTTTCCCTCGAAAACCAGCGACACCACCGCGCAGCGCCTATTTGGATCTGGACTGGATCCTGTCAGGACCAAGGTTTTCAGGACCTGCCTGCTGAATGGGATTCCCATGGAGATACCCTCTGGTAATTTAACGTAGCTATTGAAAATTACCATTAATAGTGGATTTTCCCATTGAAAATGGTGATTTTACATAATTAGTTATGTTAAATTACCAGAGGGTAGTCCCCATTTTTTTTGGGGGGGGGTAGTATCCCATGTACTCAGCAACCATCTTACTGGTGCGTTGCGTTTTACGATGGGTTGCTGGATGGGTTGCTGGATGGGTTGCTGGGATGATGAAATTACTAGTGATGATCCATGGATCATTCCCAAAAATTCCCTGCGTAAAACGCACCAGTAAGGCATGTAACGATTAACCAGGGGTCGACCACTGCTCAAGTCACTGGGGATCCCAGAAATTAGGTCCTTAGTCACATGACATGAAACCAATCATAAACTACTAGGCTTGACCAAAAATCATAAATCCTAATCATTCCTAATTCACTATTTCCATGGTTAATGTCATAGAATTCCAACTAGTGTTCATTTTGGAATCCACTATGTAGGCATTTCAATTGCAATTCTGATTTTGCCCAACATCGACTTTTCAAAACGCTTGATTGAATACTGAACATGTATCCTCTGTCTCCGATGACCAGTGCATTGTAACTTCTTGGGTGATGGTCCCAATTTCTATTTCAGTGAATAAAGTGAGTGAATAACCTGAATAACCTACATTTCTTACTGAGGGAGTAAGTTCCCATTTTTCTCGAGTAGATGCGCCATTCAAAAAGGAATTGTCACATATTGTCACCCCATACGTGCGAACCAAAATAGTTTTGTCCCACTATGATGTGTTCTTCCTTATCATATCATAGCTTTTTGTGTCATGTTTGCATGTTCTATCTCAACAACATGCTGGTTGGTGAAGTCCATCTATAATATATAATATAATATATATATATATATATACCCTCCGGTAAACTAACATAACTATGGACAATCACCATCTTTAATGGGAAAATCCACTATAAATGGTCGTGTTCAATAGTTCCGTTAAATTACCAGAGGGTATATTATATATATATATATATCCATATGTCCCAAAGGATGAATCGGATGAATCCCCCACAGAGGGCATCCCCAAACACCGGACCTTGGTATCCTTATCTCAAGAGAAGCCAGTGATGTTGGTGAATTACGCCCAAAAACAACATTAATCTTAGCTAAATATGAAGTATTTCCCCTTAACAAAATGGCAACAAAAATGCACTGTGTGAAACTATCCGTAACATCCCATAGACATGATATATATTTCCGTTATACTCCATGATATTTCCATTTTATTCATTGATATTCAAGTATGTTCAACCGCCAAAAAAAAACTATGTTCAGCTATATCCTCATATATCCATTATTAATGTTCACAAAATATTTCCATGATGTATCCATTTTTTGTTCTCCTTCCATTGCCCTTCCATTGCCCCGTTGTTCGTGGACCCCCAAAAACTTGTGTCGGTCCCTGATGTAGGTCTCGGCCAACTTCTTGCACTCCTGCAGGAGAACTCCCAAGTAGTGACTTCCCCAACGATCAAAGGACCGACTTTCGTTCAGACCTTATCCAGGGTTCATTAAGGGTTTTCAAAAGTTTTCCAACAACATATTATTGGGTTATTAACATGTATTAACCGTTTATTAACCATTATTAATCAATATGTATCATACGTATATTATTGGGGGGTCACGTTTCGAAGGGCCGGTTTGGCACAAGATTTACCCCTGGCGATTGAATATAGCCATGGAAAATAACCCACTTGTAGCTGATTTAGCAAACATGGCCATTTTCCTCTGGCGATGCTCGATTGTCAGAGGGTACCAATTGGTTGTAATTTTGATGTTCGCTTCATGCAGCCATCATTTCATAAAGGACATGTCAGTTGCCCCCAGAGCTACAATCGTGGCCGGCCAATCGTTCCAAGGTCAAGCCGGAGACATAGTCACTACACCAGAGCTACAACCGTTGTAAGTTGAACCATAGATACAACCAGTACAGTCAGTCATAGTCACTAGCAGTTGCTTGGGATAAAAAAACACCATTTACTTTATGGAAATTGGGGGGGTCCCCAATAGAATAGGAAACGGGATATTATAGATGATATGTACCTCAAATTTCCGGAATTCCACATATGTATTTTTGGGATAGTGCAATCCTCAACCTATATGAACCAACAACATTGTTTGAAAACTGCTCCCATGCTCTCTGGTAATCAAACATGGTGTGAGTGAAAAACAACCATTTAGCATGGTCCCATTTAGTTCAATGACGTGCCCATTCAAAGCCCCATTCATATTGGGGTTTCACTTGCCGCGTATGATCATTCCATTATATCCCGAGTCTACTCAAGCTGGTGCCCCCCCAGTTGAAAGTTGCTTTTAAATTCCCCACTAGTTCGATGTCTCATATACCCCAATATACCCCAATGCAATATACCCAACTAGACATATATCGAATTTCCTAAGTTGGTGAACTACTTTTATTCCCCTGGTTATACCCTGGTTCTTCTTTACCAACTTGCCGCGATTCCCCTGTTCTGCCCTTGGTGAAGGCCTGTGGCCACGTGGCCGTGAACATGCAGGTCTGCCGCTCGGCCCAAGGGACCTGACATTGGAGATACCCTGGTTGACAACCGGGATAAAATCATGAGTGAATAATATGGGATCCATTAATATCCATTACAGGATGAGGAAACATTAACTTAAATCCCAGTAAAAAATCCCAGTAATAAGTAAACTGAAACATTAAAATCCCAGTAATTAAAAATTAAAGTAATAATTATATAAAAACTATGATTCACTGGGATCCCATTATTCAAATAACATGATTAGTGAAACAACAAAAAAATCCCAGTGAAACAAACAAACGCAAGGCTTGCACCGGCTGGGATCCTCCCGGCCGGCTGCCAAGTCTGGAAAAAATCACCATGGCAGGCTAAGGATTTCAATGTTTGCGAACAAGTTGAAGAAAATACAACAAGTTGAATAAACTTGCCTGCATTTGAGTGAAACAAAATCCCATTCAGAATCCATGGTACTAGCACATTTTGACACATGTGAATAACTATGGGTAGATATACCACGCATGGATGTTCCGGTCAATTTTTCCACCCTTGAAAGGTCGACAATAAAAAGCTAAGACTCACCCTGTGGTAATTTGCTATGCAGCTATGGCATAGATGGTCCATGTAGTTCGAACATTTACCTGTTAAAAATTGTGTTTTTACATGTTTTTACATTGCTATATTAAATTACCGGAGTAACTTTTCGGAGAGTAGGTATTATATTTTTTCATTTACAGCAAGAAAAGAACATTGACCTACTCTGTACCGTCTGATTTACCCAGGATTACCCAAATATCACCCAACTGTTCTTGCTGGGTAGTGGTTTGTTCGCAGCACAGCTTTGTTGCTAAATCTCAGATGTTCGGTGGGTAAAACTCCCCACCCCTCAATTTACCGGTTGGTTTGTTCCAAACTGGGGTAGACATCAAATCCATTGCTTCATCAACAGATTCCCATTGACCCTCTAGTAATCAGGCATCGGAATAGAACATATCCATCGTTTAGTTCGATGATTTTCCCATCTATAAGCCTCCAATTTGCTGCAGAGATTTTCCCGTGGCCCCAACTCTTCCAAAGGGGTGGCCGTAACGCCAACGTTTTGGTGGAACAACCCACTGTTTCAGACACCCAGAAGGTGGTTCTTTTTTACTCATCAAACATCATCAAACTGTCGACCAAACAGCTCAGGGTCACCAGCCTATGAAATATCTCAGATTATCTATCTCCAGTAATTATATCAAGTAATGTGGGCAAAACAAATTAGAAAATATCACCACCCATGACTGGGAGTGGTCTATTTATACCACCTATCTATTTATGGTGATGACTTGAGGATGGTAAACATGAAATTGTGTTACCATGTTTTACCCACATTACCATCTGGTTATTTAACATAGCCATGGTATAGATGGCCCATAGAATAGATGGTTTACCTATTAAAAATGGTGGATCTTTCATGATCTTTCCATGGCAAACTGTTAGTCATAACCAGATGGTACCTCACCGAAATCACCATTTTCAATATAGGTAAATCCTCATAAATCATCTATTTCTATGGGCCATCTATACCATATTTTCCCATGGCGACATCTTTTCTGCGTTGTTTCCTTCGCCACTCCGACGATCCGATGAACCTCATCCAAGATCTGCTTGATCTGCGGCTCAAAACCCATGTCCTGGGAGGATGGTGACCACGTGTTCCAGTTCGTCATGGGGGTCCAGCTGGTTTACAAGGGAAAATGCTTCGTTACTGGAAACATGGATGGTTTATATAATTTCTATATGTTTATATGGAAACTCCTATTAAAATGGATGGAGGTACCCCCATTTTAGGAAACCTCCACGTGGCCATTTTAAAAGGGGGCATGAGACATATCGAGTCATCTCCAAGTGCCGCCGGTCAGACCCCACGGGACCCCCACAAGCATTCGATCCGCTTCGTCGATGATCGCAAATCTCACTTGATCCAGCCCTCAGATGGACACGGTGAAGCCACCAAAATGGTGTTTCTTAAGTTCTGGTGATATTACGGGTGATTTCTGGAAACATGGTGGTTAATTAACTACACCGAAAAATGGTGGTTCTATGATCTTATATGATGTATGGTTATGGTGATATGAAGGGTGATATCTTTTGGTAGGTAATTTCTGTGGAATATTCTATGGGATGCATGGTATGTGTGTCAACAATGTGCGTGGCCCTAGTTTCCCAATGTAGCCACCCTGAAACCAACACCCACTGGGAGGATCACGAAAACCAAACCGATCTGCACCATCCCCCGGTCACTGCAACTGGGTTGGATGTGCAACCCTGGGATTCCCCGGGAATAGTTGGATTTATCATAACTTTCTATTGACTGGTTTTTACTGGTTGGTGGTTGGCCTACCCCTCTGAAAAATGATGGAGTTCGTCCAGTTGGGATGATGAAATTCCCAAAAAAATGGGAAACAAAAAAAACACCAACCACTTTTGTTTCCTCAATCACACATGTCCTTGATCAACCCGCCACTTTTTACCCGGTAAAAAATCCGACCTCTTTGGCAAATCCCAGCTGGACCGACCTGGCCCAGCTTCCCAGCACCACACCGTGCAATGGGCGCCCGAACAGACCTGTTTCTTCTGGACGAAGTCATTGAGGCGCCCGGGGGTGGCGATCAAACAGTCGGGCCCCTGCTGGATTGCCTCGAAAGGCGTGCGTTGAAAGGGGGAGATGAACCAAATATCGTTTAATATGGGATTATATGGGATTATTATAGATACATAACCATAGTTATAAAATATGGGATGATATCGGGATTTACTCAACTATAATGGGATATCATCTCGGTACATCGTATACCAGCTATATCTTTGGGATTCTTTGGGATTCTTTGGGATTGTATAGTGGGACATAGTGGAACATAATGCTTAAATTCAAATAACGATACAAACATTGATTTGACTGACCACAATTGAGATTCAAGCAACTAAAATGGCTATGTTTCATATAATAAGGTGTGCAACAAAGAATGTGTTGCTTAACACAGCTTCCTGGAGGTTTAAACATCAGGGATTGAGCCAATAGAACTGGTGATAAAAAATGGGATGTAACGCTTTAGTACTCTTACACCACAATCACAGGTATAGATTGAGATTGTTTTAAACGGATTCAATACACATATACAAATATAGTCGTCGTAAGTATTAGGAAGTTTCATAGTAAACTTTCGTAAGTAAGGACTTCATGAGGCAAGATAGTCGGTAAGGACTTCATGAGGATAATGCCTCAGTTTTGTTTTTATTTTTTTTTAACATTCATCCACGTATCATGGATCTTTCAGGAAAAACATGTTTCTCCTCTTGCACGTGCTGAACCGGAAAGCATGCTAAACACATGGCCATATGTCCAATAGATTGCCCCATTTATAGCGGATGAACCCATACTCGGAAGCGTTAACCATTCTGAAATCTCCCAGTTGGGATATAACATGATATAACACCTACAACTATGGTTATATCTGCCATATAGCCATTTATAACCCCAACTTCACCCCCAAATATGCTATTTGGTTCTGTCCAATCTTTAACAGTTGGGCAATTATTTAAGGGTACATGTCAACATTCCATACATACATATACATACAGCATATCGGAATGGGATTCCATCAACAAGCATCCACATTCGGCAAATCCAGAAAGTACGCAACTGGGCGGAATTTCTTCACTGTAAGATCCCCAACTAGGATGATCAGTGATGTTGAATTATGTTGAATTCCTATCGTCAATCCCATATGGGGATCATCCAGAACTGGGGCGATTTGATTGCTCCGAGGTCGCAGTCTGCGACCAGTGGTTTCGACAAGATGTTCCTGGGGATAAATGGATGGTTTATTTCATGGAAAACCCTACGAAAATAGATGATCTACAGTTTTGGCCCAAAATGCCAGTTATAAGTACTTACTTATAACCCCATTTATAGAATAATCCCATAGAAATAACCAGTTATTAAACTCATAAATGGCCATAACTGTAGGGCTATTTTAGGAAACCCACATTTTATAAATCCCATATCCATGTGACCCCCTTCCCCATCCGTGGTCAGGCTGGGCTTCCCAACCCACTCTTGATCCCGTCGATTGGCGCCACCATAGGCGCAGGCAGCAGTCAGTTGAACCTTGGTCCAAGTGGATTTCAGGGGGAAATTCCATGGATGGTATATAACTGGTATAAATTAACCATGGGCCATCTATAAATGGTATTTAACCATGGTATATAACTTAGGTATAAATGGTATATAACTGGTTGAACCCTCTGGTTATGACAAACATAGCTATTGAAAATGGCCATAGGAATAGTGGATTTTCCCATGAAAAATGGTGGATCTTTCCATAGCTATGTTAAATTACCAGAGGTATCCTCGATGGTATATAACTGGTATAAATTAACCATGGGCCATCTATAAATGGTATTTAACCATGGTATATAACTTAGGTATAAATGGTATATAACTGGTTGAACCCTCTGGTTATGACTAACATAGCTATTGAAAATGGCCATAGAAATAGTGGATTTTCCCATGAAACATGGTGGATCTTTCCATAGCTATGTTAAATTACCAGAGGTATCCTCGATGGTATATAACTGGTATAAATTAACCATGGGCCATCTATAAATGGTATTTAACCATGGTATATAACTTAGGTATAAATGGTATATAACTGGTTGAACCCTCTGGTTATGACTAACATAGCCATGGAAAATAGATGGCCCTAATCGAAATAGATGATTTTCCCAGCGAACGAAACCTCCATGTTTTTGAGGGATTTTCCAGTTCGCTATGTTAAATAACCAGATGGTATATGATTGAGCTATTGACCAGTGGTTTTAGACTATTTAGGGCTGTGGTAATATGCATGTAATATGTTATAATCCTAATTTTCAGACCGGCACTTTTTTTTGAATGGTATTTATGAACCGAAAATCATGTACAAACCAGGGTTTTGATCTAGAAGATTAGGCCCCTGACTTCCAATGTTGAAGTTTAGCTTTGCCGTTGCCATTTTCAAAAAGATAATTAGGTCTTTCAGAATGAGTAAAACGTGCACCGTCGAGAGAGGCTACCATTTAGCCATACTCATAGCCCATATATGGTCCTCATGGCCGTCTCTCCAAATGAGGCAGCTATTTCTGAAGCCCCACAAAAGGTTTGAATCGGAAACTCAAATGTCCAAAGATTTCAGACGTGTAACATGGTCCAGGTATGTCCAGGGATACAGGACTCACATGCTGTAAGCAGGTGAGAGGGCCGATCTTTTGTTGGCCGAATTTTGCAAAGGAGTGTCATCAAGCAAGGTACTTATTTCGTTTTTCAGCGTCGAAACGGTGCCAAACTTGGGGACAAAAGTTCACGCTCATTTCACGGAAAAAAACATGGTCTTTCACAGGTAAACATAGTATTTCACGCTTCTTTCAGGATCATTTTTCTTAAAATATGTCGGGCTTGTATTCACTGACCTGAAGATCCCACAACAAATCAACATCGGCGGCACATATTGAGAACCCCCATGTCCTGTTTCCCATAGGCAGTTAAAAATCAGAAATTTACCTGAAATAATATCGTGATGAGCCTTCTTTATTTGTTTAATCCACTTTATCCATGTTGGCACAACCACAGGTCAGAGATTGGTCAGAGTTATATTATCTCTGAGGCCATCTTGAGCCACAACTCCTGTCTCGGATGTCTCGGATAGACATGTGTTCCCTTTAACTCCTTGCGGGATCCAGTAAAACATGCACTGCACCCATGTCCAAGATCAATTTGCCCTTTGAAGATAAGGGTAGGGTTTCTGCTTCAAAGATGGAGATCGATTCGAGCGATATCACACAGTAAAGGTCGGTTCCTTTTTGTTTTTCTTGTGTGCTGCCGCCCTTTGTGTTTTGCTCTGCCGACCAGGTTATACCTGGTTTCTCCTGCTGGCTCGTTCGACCCGGTGCAAGAGTTGCGTCGACGCGTTGAGAGAGCAGGTGCCCGCGAATCTTGATTTGACTGGGAAACTTGTCCTGTTCATGATCAAAATAGTCCTGGGAAACTTGATCATGGACTGGGAACTTACTGGGACTCCTTGTATGGACTGATATAGATCTATAGTGATCTATATACATAGCTTTCTCTTGATTCTATGATATTCTGTGGGTATTCTGTGGGTTCTGGTGGTGAACTATTCACGTTTTGCGGCGAAATTCGCTGAAATTCGCGGGGCCGACAACTTCAGCCATCCCCTCCCTCGTACCGGTTGATAAGGGTAAGTTTCCCATGTTGGATGACGATAATTTTCACAAAAGATCAGTCGGATAAATCGAGAAATCACATGCTACCCATGGACCAGCGGTAGTAAGGGGGCACTTCTCAAAATTATTGGACGATTATAACAACTCTCAAATCTGAAACACGTTTCTTTCTTGGGCTGGTCCCCCAAACCAACCATTGCAAAATAAACGACCGACCTTGTGGAGAGGTCACTAAAATTTGCCCACGTGGGACGTATGGATTGATCATACATGAGGATTTACTTTCTTCGAGTGATCCCCACTGTGAAACATTATCCTGACATAGCTATCATAGCTTCTGACATACCATCTGGAAGTATGTATGGAATATTGATTCTGACATTCTATCTGACATTCTATCAGACGTACTTTCTGGCATATCTTCTGACATTCTTTCTGGCATTCCATCTGTATCTTCGAAGATTCTTCGTGGTCGAGGTCCGGCTGGGAACACTGCGATCTAGCGCTTGCAGTCGAGGTGGAGGCGGAGGCGGCGGGACAGCTGACATAAAATCTAGCAACCCTCACCTGACAGGTGGGGAAAACGGGATTCAACATGACTATACCTATTACCATCTGGTTATGACTAACATAGCCATGGAAAGATCCACCATTTTAAATAGGTAAATCATCTATTTCTATGGGCCATCTATACCATGGCTATGTTAGTCATAACCAGAGGGTATGTCCCATTGGAATGGCCTTATTGAGGACGAATGTTAACCACCAACCTATTGTAACCGTTTGGGGATGGGATTTATTGCCAATCTTTCATATCCTTCAAACGTTTCTTTTCAAAGCTGGAAAGTAACAAAAAAAACATTTCTAGCAAAGTTCGTAAACAACCCATCCCAGGTTTACCCAGCGATTATAGATGGTTCCCCTTAAGCCTCCCCACTGGCTGTCCAAATTTCTCGGTGTCCGAATAGATCTGATGGCACCTTGAAGGCACCAGATCCAGAACAGGGCATTGGACGGGATTGGAATGCGCTGGCGAGAAGAACAAGAGAAATCCAAGCATGAACCATACCATCAATATGGGAGTAGCCATTGACTACGTCTATACTTTAGTTGATATTATCATTAAATATAAATACATCTAGTCTGGGAACATCTATTACATAGCCATCATGGGAATAAGCCACTAGGCATACCTACAATGGCCACCCAGTAGGAAATCACGGTAGATTGGGTTACAGCCAGATCAGGTTTTATGACTCGGAATTATCTATAGACTACACTTACATAAACAATGAGTATCTACTCCAATAAGGGGCAACTAAGGTCATGTTGAGATGTTTTGAGACAACCCTTTTGAATAAACGGGGAAGGTATGTTGTGGAGTTATAACATTGTTTGTGCTGGGTGATTGGCTGATGACTGTTTGGGCAGATTTCTTGACGAAGCCTTCCATATTTTGCTAGTTGTTCTTTCTTCGCTGTTCCAAATGGCATTTGCAAACATAAAACAGCGCTTTAGCGGTCCCCCAAGCATGGGTCCTGTTTGTGACATTCATGTGAAGAATCTGAAATTTAACCACTTCACAATAGCAAATGATCTATTACAAGCCGTCTTTGGGAGAGGGATCAAGTTCCATATTCATCAACATGGGAGGTTCTTAAAACAGTGGACCCCAATAATAATCATTTTTAATGTGTACCATCTGGTTATTTAACATAGCCATGGAAAATCACCATGTTGAATAGGTAAACCCAGGTAAACCATCTATTTCGATTAGGGCCATCTATACCATGGCTATGTTAGTCATAACCAGAGGGTATATAATAGGGCCATGGGGAAACAAATGCTGCCGCACCAGTGGGAACTGTGTCCAAGAAATTCCCAGGAAGTCGATTCTCCCCATGTTGTTTCAGCACATCAAAAGCAGATGGAATATGTGTTTATGGGTCAAAAACTAACTATATACCATCTGGTTATGACAATATAACAGTTTGCCATGGAAAGATCCACCATTTTTTAGTTCGGTAAACCATCTATTTCGATCGAAAAACCATGGCGAACTGTTAGTCATAACCAGAGGGTATGAGAACATGGGATGGTTTCCTGTGGTTTACTCTTGAAAATGACTGGAGTTTATGGTTTCCTGGGTCTTTTTGTTTGTTGAGGACAAGACCATGAACTCCAAACATTCCCACCGTTTTGCTTCTGGCAGAATGGAAAAAAGGCTCGCAAACAAAACAGATCTTACAGTATACCAAGTTGCAATTCGCGCGTTGGGGTGATGCACAAGAGAGCAGGCCTTGCGGAATGGAAAGTTGCGACTGAATGGGATATTTTTTGGGATCTAATACCCATAGGATCCATGTATGCTATATGTGGTAACATTTACCATCAATATACCCCAAATGTTAGCATATATACCATACATGGATCCTATGGGATATGGTAAATAATCAACACTATGATATTTGGGTGTGTCTGAACATGGCGGAAAAAAACCTCTTTATACAGAAAATCATGCGATTAACCATTGGAACTTGATGCACAAGATGTGTTCACATAAAAATCACCGTGGTTTGGAGGATGTTCCCATCATGACATATCATGACTAATCAATTCCCTATGGATCCAGGTACCTTCTAAGGCTCTAAGGAAGTATTTGGGGCGCGATTTGTGGGGCTACATACGTGACGAGGAAGTATTTGGATATATAGGGCACCTGCAACATTAGTTACATACGACTACCCACAATGCGGGACCATGTTCAAAACTTAGCGTGTGATGAAACACAAAACAAATGAAATGGAACCAGGATGAATCAGGAAAATTGAAATAACACGAAAAAAAAATTGAAGTCCTATTGCCTATAGACTTGAGGGGCCGAAAATTTCAAGTTGCATGTGAACATGTCAAATTAAATCATCTTGATCCCGCAAAGGGTGAGTTAGCATAGAACTGCTAGCGACACTTCGATGAGGAACGGGGGAAAATCCAATCCAGTCAGGCAGTGGTGGTTCTTCCCACTAAGCCTGTTCATCCCCCGAAAAAACCGAGGGAGATAGTAGGAGTGGGATGCACCATCAAGTAACTAGGTCTATATTTTTTGGGTGTCCAGTAGACCTAGTAGACCTACTTACTGACCGATATAGATCTAGCAACAGCAACAGCTCTACTAGGTCTATACCACTGGGATGCTGACCCAAAAAACTGACGAAGTCCCAGAGCTGTTGACCCACAGATTCGCTGCGCTGCCGGGACCCACGGGACCCACGGGGACCCTCGTTGCGTGTCAATTTCATTGGCACGTTTCAACTTCCTGGACCCCATATGGCGAGCATGGGTGGATCAATGTGCATGATTCATATGCAAAGTTGACAGCACGGTTAGATGAATTGTAAAGTGAATCAATAAACATAAATGATGATATGAATAGATCATAATAGATTATTATATCATAATTTTTAGATCTGAATTTTTGAGGATGTGCAAAGTTAGGTTCGATTCTTCCAACATCAAGTTGTAGTTGGCGCTCTTGAAAATTATTCATTGCGAATCTGAGGTATGTCATCGATGCGTCTTTGTTAGGGTTGTGTACATATGTTGTTGGGGACATATATTACATGTATGTAGTGTATGTAATGTAATGTACTGTAATGTAATGTATGTAATGTAATGTAATGTAATGTAATGTAATGTAATGTATGTAATGTATGTAATGTATGTAATGTAAGGTATGTAATGTAATGTATGTAATGTAATGTAATATAATGTAATGTAATGTAATGTATGTAATGTATGTAATGTATGTAATGTATGTAATATATGTAATGTATGTAATGTATGTAATGTATGTAATGTAAGTAATGTAATGTATGTAATGTAATGTAATGCAATATAATATAATGTAATGTAATGTACGTAATGTACGTAATGTACGTATAGATGTATGGATGTATTAATGTATGTACGTAATGTAACGTACTGTACTGTAATGTAATGTAATGTAGTGTAATGTATGTAATGTATGTAATGTATGTAATGTAAGGCATGTAATGTAATGTATGTAATGTAATGTAATATAATGTAATGCAATGTAATGTAATGTACGTAATTTACGTATAGATGTATGGATGTATTAATGTATGTATGTAATGTAACGTACTGTAATGTAATGTAATGTAGTGTTGTGAAATGTAATTAAAATATGTAATGTATGTAATGTAATGTATGTAATGTAATGTAATGTAATATGATGTAATGTACGTAATGTACGTATAGATGTATGGATGTATTAGTGTATGTATGTAATGTAACGTACTGTAATGTAATGTAATGTAATTAATATATGCAATGTATGTAATGTAATGTATGTAATGTATGTAATGTATGTAATGTAAGGTATGTAATGTAATGTATGTAATGTAATGTAATATAATGCAATGTAATGTAATGTAATGTATGTAATGTAATGTAATGTAATTTAATGTAATGTAATGTAATGTACGTAATGTACGTATAGATGTATGGACGTATTAGTGTATGTATGTAATGTAACGTACTGTAATGTCATGTAATGTAATTAATATATGTAATGTATGCAATGTATGTATTGTATGCAATGTATGTAATGCATGTAATGTATGTAATGTATGTAATGTGTGTAATGTATGTAATGTATGTAATGTATGTGTGTATGTATGTACGTACGTATGTACGTACGTATGTCTGTGTGTATGTATGTATGTATGTATGTATGTAATGTAATTTAATGTGATGTCATATACTGTAACCGTTAACCTAACATAATTTAATTTCATGTAACGGAACGTTACCTAACATAATTTGACGTAATGTAATATATGTATGTATGTGTATGTCTGGATGTATATGTGTGTGCATGGATGTATATGTATACGTATGTATATGTATATGTACATGTATATGTATATATTATGTATATGTATGTTATGTGTACACTCATTACATTACCAATGAATATATTGTTTTCACTCATACAACATAGGTTACAATATATATATATATATATTATTTATATACACTTTGGTAATTTAACAGGGCTATGGTATAGGTGGCTCACCTAGTTGGATGATTTACCCCTTACAATTGGCATAAGGTCTCTATCATGCACCCTAGTTATTGGAATTATGAACCTTGGCTTTTTTGTACATTCCAATAAATTGCAAACCCAAATCTACATCTTGATACTTGATTTCTTGTTTATTTCTTCCATCAAACATCTCCCATGACCATGTCCATGTCCATCGATTTCCTTTCATCATAATAATGATGTCTGTATTAATACTGTATCATCCCTGCAAAAAAAAAAACACATGCGTGGGAACTGCCCATCTGGCCATGGTTTTGTCATAGTTTTGGGATATCTTTTGGTGCTGAAAAAAACCTGGGGATTTGCCATGCGTTGTCCTCAGCTTGACGAAGCCCGGCAGCAGGAACGCCAAGGTCTTGCCGCTCCCTGTCTTTGCCACGCCTGGAGATGTCCAAAACTGGGAGCCCAGGGTGCCAAGTTACACTATGATCTGGACAACCGATGGGTATGTTACAATATGTTACATTGATGATTTATGTATATATTTATGGTATGTAATATGTACATTTATGATATGTTATGTATATTTATGTGCATTTGGGATGTCAACGACCAATTGATGGTCCGAAACTCACAGCCTCACAAATTGGATAGTCGCAGCCGGGGAAATTCGAGAGGTCAAACAAGTTCAACATCCAAAAATGTCACCAACCTGCAACGTGCTATCACAGTTGGACAAGGTTTATACCAAGCACTCATCTTGAGGTCAAGGTCATTGGGATGGGGAAAGAACGGGCGGGCTTGGGCGCTGATTGGACCATATGCTGGTTAGGTCTGGTGGAGCAGTTTGGTCTTTGAAACTTGAAGAATCTAAGAATTGAAAGCTGCTGGTGTTGAAGGATAGATGACACTGGCTCGGCCTTTCCAGAGCTGGTTGAACTACGCCCATCAAAACAAAGTTGAGTGGGGACCATCATCCCATTGTTTGGGATGGAACACAAAATATAATATAGATCATTTGTCATCTATCATATGTATATACATATATATATATATACACCTATATTCTGCATATTCCAAAGAAAAAGTTAGTGATTTGCCTAGGGACCAGCCCAAATCCTCGCAATTCTGAGGCCGGAACCGACTAAGTCCTTGCCAGACTGCAGCACCGGCCACGCATATGACTGGCATGCGAAAGATCAAGGCTGGGCCCTGGCCACCCTCTGGATCCCTTTGGTGATTTTAATGTAGTTTAATGCAGGTCTAATGGCAAGTTCAGAGGATATCGGATATATACTGGTTGGTGGTTTCAATCCCTCTGAAAAATATGAAAATCCAGTTGGGATGATGACATTCCCAACTGAATGGAAAAATAAAATTAATGTTCCAAACCACCAAGCAGGGTTTAATGCAGTTCTAAATGGTAAGTTCATAGGATCTCGGATATATAGATTGGGATTATGGGGAGAAGCCAACATGACTATGGAAAATCACCATGTTGTATAGGTAAATCATCATATACAAATGATATACATGATCTAGAAAAAAAATGGTCACTTTTTCCATAGCTAGGTTAAATAGCAAATTCCTTCCGCTGTGGCTATGAATCCCCTAATAGGTTGTTCCGCACGCCAACCCTGGTGGGATCCTTGAGATATTCCCAAACTGGGCCGTGGGTTTGTCTGAAATGGTGCACCCCTAACTCCAAAGGCGTCCGATCACCTTCCCGATCAAATCAGGTATGCTACCCCGTTGCAATCGAATATGGAACTCCTTGATCCATCTCATACATTCTCATAGCATGTCCAATCGGGAATAATGTCAATCCCTCGCATTTTTACTTCCAATCACCCCTTGGCTGTTCATCATTGAGTCTCATTTTAGTAGCAAATGGCATTGTTTTTTGAGTGGTTCATATGTTTGTCAAAAACAGCGCATTATAAATCCAAAGTTGACATGACGAATTTTGAGAGGGATTGATTTCTCGTTTTATGTACCCTCTGGTAATCGAACATGGCAGTGGAAAATGACCCATATGATTTTCCCAGCTATAATCTTCCATTTATAGAGATTTTCTCATGTTCGATGACCGGAGGGAAATTCTGTACCAACCAGGAGCTTAGGCTGGCAGCGATGTCTGAGTGTACGCTTTTTCAGAAGGGATAACTATCGGATGATGATATTCTGTGGGGTCATGATATCCAGTTGTAGGATGATGATACTTATATGATAATAATAATAATTTAATAATAATAATACTACTACTACTAATAATACTAATAAAAAACAACAATAATAATTTTATATACAGTAGCATTTATAGCATCATATAACATGTTTTTTCGATGTGACATGTTCAACCTGTTTGAAAGCAAAAAAAACTTAACCATAGCAATCAATTTCCAGGGTACAATCCTGCTGAACCGATGGTATGTTGCAGTGAGGTCGGCCATGTTCCAACAAAAGACGAGATCATGTCTCATGTGGCGCACTCCCTGTTTGTTGCAGGTAAAAATCACAACGGTTTTCAGGGATAGTTTGCTGCAGGTTCAACAACTATCTATACTGGTTCAGCATGATTTATATACCCTCTGGTAGACTAACATAGCAATTGAAAATGGCCATAGAAATAATGGATTTACGCATTAAAGATAGTGATTTTCCAGTTCGCAAACTCTTAGTTTACCAGAGAGTAATCATAGTTTGTCTGCCAAACGATCAGTAGTGTTTCTGCTTAAAGGGTTGAATCTGCCAGTATCCGCACTCTTTAACCTTGCGGTGCCGGTTCTCCACCGAGAAAATATAACTATCACCAAAAATGGCATTGGGCTAGGAGTGTGCGGAATGGCGGGCACAATGTGGTATAGTTTCAACAAAGAAAATATGATTTGAAGTACCCAGGTCTTCCAAAGATCAAGTGTTCTACGGTTTCTGGACATTCAAAAAACTTTTGAAAGACATCTCCAAACAGCGGTCCCTGACTCTCTGCATTGATTATAGAAGCTTGTCATAAACAACAACAAACGTGGAGGGTGGGATACTAATTTTGGCATAAGAAAAAGCTATTAAAGAACCACACCATGCTTTGCTCCGGAAAAAGTAGACTAGACTAGAATAAAATTAGAATTTAAATAGAACCAATCATATTGGACAATATGGCTGGTAACATTCTGTATGTTACTATCTTGTTTTCATTGCTTACGAGGTCAACTTCCGCACAGTCCCAGACATTGAAACGTCATGCTGTTCGCACGTGCACCGTTGGAACGCCAGGCGCAGCATTAAAAGTTTCTGCAGGTGCACGGATGGCATTTCTGTTCCTGGGCAAAACATAAAAGAAAAAACTGAAGCTATTTTAGCGATGATGTATGATGATGTCCTATCCTAACCAGCACTAAAACGTCTGGCAATGTGGGCCAAAGTGGCTGGGCTCAAACAATACGGATTCATACCATCTCATACCAATGGACAAGGACCAGTGAACTTCCAAAATTGGACACGTCGCCAGTATTTCACCATCCATATACCATCCATATACCCCCCAATGTTTGATGCACCATTTTCCCGGTTAGGTGATGGCCAGATCTTGGCAATTTGCCCAGACTTTTTCCCATCCTGCGGTAGATCACCGGATGGGGCGGTACTTTTTTAGAGCCGCAAGGTCACGTGTTTGGAGAGCGCACGACCAAGAACCCGCATATAGTCACCTGGGGGCGCTGGTTTTGACTAGTTGCTTGAAGCTGGTAGAGTGGTATTAATCTGGTTGGTGGTTTCAACCCCTCTGAAAAACATGAGTTCGTCAGCTGGGATTATGAAATTCCCAACTGAATGGAAAAATTACAATTCATGTTCCAAACCACCAACCAGTAGATCTATGTCTGTCAATGGATTTAAATGGTATATAATCAACCATAAATGGCATATAATATGTATTACTGGGAATAGAATAACCATATATTGGGATATCATGTAGGTGTTGAGGAATGGATGGGTTGAAATGTTAACTGCATGGAATGGAGATAAGGTTGGTCATTGGTCCCTCCCAAAAAAAGAACGCGGGGAATATCATGTGGAAAAGAAAAGCGGACATACAACCAGCAATGTGATACCCTGAATACTCCGATATTAGAAAATTGTTATAATGGGGATGTAATGGAATATAGTGGGAGCTTGATATAGGAATTGTATAGTGGCAATTCGGAATAAGTGGGATGTAAAATCAACAAAAACATGGGAATATAATGGGATGGGGATATAGTGGGGATATCAGCAACAATGATCGATGTTTGGGTGTGTCTGAAAACGGTCAGTATGCCTCATTACACGATGATGAAATACTGTATGGAATGGGGATACCCTATGTTCATCTTCAATCAAGGCCATTTTGGGTGGTGAAGCGATGTGAAGCGCCTAACAAAATCTTATGAAATGCTTCGTTCCTGCGGTTTGGGAAACATGCACAGAGTACCACTGCACCCCCACTAAGGTCTTTTTAAAGTTTTCACAGTCGTTGAGACGTCCTCCGACTGTTGCAACTTTGGCTCAAGCCATTCAATTGGCTCAAGGGCCAATCAACTGACTGGCTCAATTTACCGAGCCCAACTTGGAGTGAAAAGGTGCACTTGCATCTGCCTCTTGGTGGGGACCTCCGGGAAGGGTCTCGGTCATAGTCTGAAACCCGTGGGTTATGAGCCCAACCCCAACGCTGCCTTGAAGCAATGTCGAGCAGCGACTTCACTCAGCGTCGTCGACAAGAACGCCAAGTTCAAGCGGCTGCTCATGCTGAAGAAGTACAACATGGGACCCATGGACATGGAAAAGAAGAACGCGCGGAAACGGCAGACCAAATGCTGGACCGGCTTCTGGAGGAGATGGACGCACCTGGACAAGCACATGGGGAAAGAACAGGGACAAGATCATCAGACTCAACCCGAAGATCACTGATGGAAGGGGAAGTTGGAGAAAGTGTGATGGCACTGACCGGTGCTGGGGGAAGTGGAGCCCTAGTGCAGGTTGCGGCGGTCCGGGCTGGAGCGGGCGAACGAATCGCCCAGAATCCGGCTGTTGCGGAAGAAGTCGCAAGACCAGTGTCCTTACCACCTGAAGAACCTCCTGGACTTGAAGTGGTACGAGGAAATGGGAATGGTGGTCTGTTGTCTGGTTTGACCCCAGGTGTGAATAGTCTAACTCTTTCGGGAGTGCCTATGACACAAACACCAGTAGTTGCCCGGATGTCTGAGGGATTTCGTGAACCACCTGTTGTGGGTAATCGAGAAGAAGGACAGGGTGGAAAACACCAAAGCTCAACTGAAGTGGGTGGAGGTGCGGCTGCTGTTGTGGAAACCGTTGCTCTTTTGGAGCGACCGGGACGTTCACCTGTTGAGTCTCCTGAAGATGCACGCGTTAAACAATCGGTGCCAGCGGCACCAACAGGCTCACCTATGATCTACCAGCCGGCGGGAGCACCTGTGGTGTATACTGCAACTGGTGGAACACAGGGTTCGCAAGTAGCTGGGATGTCCCAGCAATCCATGTGTGCTGGAGTGCCACCTACGGGAATGGTGCCTCAGTGGGGAACAGCGGTGGTGGATCCTGGGATTGTAACCAGGGTCATGGCTGCAGAGGAAACGAATCCATGGAGTGCTGCCAAGCAAGTGGAAGCTCTAATGAGCAGTCCACAAACTCCAGTGAAGGAGCTGACTTATCCCACAGTGTCGCAAGACCTGATTGATCGGGCGGACGCAAGGGAGAAAGAGAAGTATGAAGAGTTGAAACAACGAGCGATGGAATTCATCCAGCGGGGCAAGACTGAGATCCAACAAGATCGAGAAAATTGGTTAGCCACGCGGGAAGAGAAACGTGCCCTGGAACGGGTCCAAGAAACAGGAGGAGGTCACAAGGGCTCTCAGTCGAGTGGGGGGTCTTATCAAACCGCCTCTCCGGAGCAGAAAATCGGGCAGTGTTTTCCTGTAGGGCCACCTCAAGGTGTCCCACCCCAAGGACAACAGGTGCTAGATCAGGCAGTTCCGGGAGTTCAACATCATGATGATCAAGATCTTCAATTGAAGGCGGGAGGTCCGATGTGGCATGCGCCTCCTGCGCCCAGGGTCGAACAAGGTCTTCGGCCGATGGATGTGTATATATGCATCAAGGGTGGATGAATGGAATGCCGCAGGGAGCGGCGCCGAGACCACCAATGGGAGCTCCCTGCATGGGAGCCATGGAAAACACAAGACCCTGTTTTATGGGTGAACAACCCAATCAATGGTATAATCCTCAAGCCCAAGTTGGAGGAGCACCTGCAGGACAAGATCATCGACTTCATGGAGGTTTTGCATTTCCGGGTGGAAACGCCGGACCTATGGGTGGTTGTGGTTGGCCGGGAGGTCCACCGCCGGGGCAGTATGGAAATCCGGGACAAGCACCTGGTCCGCCAGGTGGTCATCAAGGAAATCCAGGACGAGCTGTACCGCCACAACAACAACAACAGCAAGTTGCAGTCCAAGCAGGACCTCAGGCAGGGGGAGAAATACCAGGCGAGACTTTAAGATCGGTCGAGTTGCCGAAGCTGGACAGAAACGCAACATCTTTGGACTTTGGAGACTGGCTGACAGTTGCCCAACAGATGATTGGGGATGTGAGCTACACCTCAGAGCAATGGTGGGAAGTAGTGATGACCGCTGTTGAACAAGCGTACCACCACTGGTTGCAAGCGGATCCACCCGTGAGGCTCCGGATGGCGCCTGTGATACCTGACATGGCCCGTAGGTGGCCTCGCACAGAGAAACGGGTGGTGGGTATGCTGCTTCAAGCCGTCCCCAAGGACATCTACGAGGACCTTGTGGCGAACAGACACATGTCAGCGGGTCAAGTCATGTTCAAGCTGTACACCGTCTTCCAACCTGGGGGACAAGTGGAAAGAACTGCCCTGCTGCAAATGTTGGTGGACTGGAAATGTCCATCTAATAATGCTGCAGAGATGGTCAACTCCATCCGGAAGTGGAGAAGATGGGTGGTTCGTGCCGAAGAACTTCAATTGGTTTTGCCCGATCCTCTGGTTTTGGCCGGAGTGGTCGCAAAAATGAGTGATGCCTTGGCCAGGTTGGGGGGAGCTCAAGCTGCCTACCGGTTGTCTTCGGTGAGACAGCATTTGGGCATAGATCTCCGGCCGGGAATGCAAGAGATCCGAACGTTTTCGGAACTTCTTCAAGCGGAGGCTAGTGAAATGGCTCTCCGTCAACCGGGGAACACAACACAGGGTCCAACGACTAAGCCCAACAATGTAGTGGGGGTGAAGTCTATGAGTGGACCGGATTCATCTGGAAGTCCACCAAAGGGAGCTTCGAAGGGAAAACCAGAAGACGCAGCAGGTTCTTCCACCGGAAGGAGGGGGGAGAAGCCCGAGCTGCCGATTAACGCCGCTAATGTGGTCCATAAGGTGGCGTGCGTCAACTGGCTGACTGAGAAGGGATGCCAATATGCAGAACGATGCCGGTTTATGCACACCGTTTTGGACTCCAAAGATGGCCGATGTTTCAACTGTTCTGGAAAGGGACACTCCCGACGTGATTGTCCGGCGGGAAAACGAAGTGAGTCACGGATCCACAAGGTGGATCTGAAGAACCAAAGGTGGCCAAAACCACTAGAATCCGCTCAAGATCTCAAGAGAGGAAAAATGGTTCTGGAAAAGAAGGAGGTGATGCTCAAGAACGTCCTGAACCTGTCGTGAAGATCAACCCGAGGGATGAATCCACGGTCACTATTACCCCTGTACCAGAGAAGTCCGAAAAGGTTGTAGGAGAAGTCACCAGCCTTTTGAAGGGTCTCAATGGACCGGTCTTGAAATCGGTGGGGCATGGTGGGGATCATCTCGAAGTCGAGTTTGATAATGGAACGGGTTTATTGGATGGTGGGGCGACACACCCCTTGAGACAGGGATCAACCGAGGAGATCAAGAACGCGGTGCAGGTCACTGTGGAACTCGCACATGGAGCTGCTCAGCTCTATCAAAATCCTGTGAATGGAACCCTCTTGTCGGAGGGACCGGTGGAACCAATTGTACCTCTTCGAGGTTTGGTGGAATTGGGATACACCATCACTTGGTCCCGTGCAGGATGTGTTGTGAAACATCCACGACTGGGAAACATAGAATGTTGGTTAAGGTCTGGGTGTCCAGTGGTTCGAAAGGACCACGCTCTGGCTCTGATCACTGAGATTGAGCACATGGAGATGGAAAAGAGAACCAACCATCGGCTCACCTTGGAAGAGCCCACGGAGAAGACCAAGAAGTGGTGGGGATCACGATTTCCGGAAACACCGGACAGAATTTGGAATTACATGCGGGGTCAAGATGAAGAAGATCCGCAAATGAACCATGATTTATCATGGAACCGGCACAAAAGAAGGAGGCTGCTCACCTCAAAAGGGGTTATAGTCCACCTTTTTGCTGGAGAAAGGGCGAAGGAATGGCGAAAGAATCCCATCAATGGGATTGAAGTCATCACTTTGGATATCAATGAAGGTCGAAATCAAGATCTACACAATCCGGGAACATGGAGTTTCCTTTGGAAACTTGCAAGCCTGGGAAAACTTCTTGCTATCATCGGGGGACCTCCCTGTCGGACGGTCAGCCGATTGAGGCAGAAACAACCGGGACCAAGACCATTGCGTGGACGTTTCCATGACCGGTATGGTCTACCAGGATTGA